AATGGCTTGTACTATTTCAATGTAATGCCATTCGGGCTATGTAATGCCCCGGCTTCCTTCAAGAGGTTGATGAAGACTGTCTTAGCAGGTCTACAGTGGGACATTTGCTTTATTTACCACGATGACATTATTGTTTACACCAGACCTTTGAAGACATGTTCAAGAACTTATCCAAAGAGTTTGATAAACAAGCAGCAGCAGGATTAAAGCTAAAGACAAAGAAATATACACTTTTTGCAAATAGTGTTGACTATTTACTACTAGGGGCATGTGGTGTGTGGGACCAAGGTATTTCAACAGACCCAAAGAAAACAGAGGTAATCAAAATTGGTCTCAACCACAAAATATCACTGAGCTCAGATCTTTTTTGGGATTATGTAGCTATTATAGGAAATTTGATCCAAACTTTGCTGCTTTAGCCAAACCATTTCATGCTTTGACCCAGCAGCGAAAAAAATACATTTGGTCTGAAGAATGTCGAAAGTCTTTCGACATTTTACGAGATAAGTTGGTGAAAGCATCTTTGCTTGCACACCCAGACTTTCCAGAACTTTTCATCCTTGACACTGACACAAGTGACACAGCGATTGGTGCTGTTTGTTTCAGGTAAAGGATGGGGAAGAGAAAGTAATTTACTATGCGAGTCGCTGTCTAACCAAAGGTGAACGAAAATATTGCGTTACGCGCAAGGAGTTACCATCAATTATAATCTTTGTAAAACATTTTAGACACTACTTATATGGTAAGCCTTTTGTGGTACGCACCGACCATAGTTCCTTGAGATGGTTGTTAAGAAAGATGCGGAAGGACAGATAGCTAGGTGGATTGAAACATTATCTACCTATGAAATACAGATTCAACACAGAGCAAGCGGGCAATTTGCACAGAAATGCGAATGTTCTGAGTAGGATCCCGTACAGACAATGTAGAAACAAATTCCATGCTAGCAAATCTATTCACCCCAAAGTCAGACTTTGGTCGACGCATGAGGAAAAGACATCCGAAGGTAACATATCTGTGCAAGAAATGCAAGATCAAGACAAAGACATATGTAAATCATGGCTTGAAAAAAATACCAGACAAGCTTTTGAAGATATTAGATGTAAAGGATATTTCCTTAGATTTCTTTGGTGTCAGTGGCACAGACTGACATTGGTAAATGGGATTGTTTGTAGACGGTGGACTGTGTTGGAGACAAATGAAATCAAAATTCAACCATTTGCATACCTTTCTTCGAGAGAAGGAATATTTTAAAGCATTGCCATGACGAAAAGACGACCGGGCATCCCGGGGTTGAGAAAACAGCCAGAGTACAGCAGATTTTACTGGCCCGATTTAGAGATACCATGATATGAGAATGGCATGGAAGAGATTTAAGCCTGGTGACAAGGTGTTTATACCGGGTATTTCTTCCACTGAAGAAGATTGGTTGTTCTCCTAAGCTAACATAATTTTGGCGCGGACCATTTGATGTCCTTAAACAATGGTTTGATGTTGTTTATGTGGTAGCATGTGGTAGAAAGGTTGAAAAGCAAATCAGTTATTGTGATAGAATGCACAAAAAGGAAAAACAAGTTATAAACCTCGAAAATCTACAACTTCACGACGAAGAATCAGTAAATAAGCAAGGAAGAGTCAGAAGAAGTTGACCATGAAAGTCAAACTAATTTAGATTCCGTGGAGAATTGGTAAATAAAAATGATCACAACCGCATTCGTAGAAATTTAAACCCGGATGTCTTGCAGTAATAAGAACGAGATGTGGTCTTACTCCATGCTGATTATTTTATGTGAATTTTCATTTTGAGGGTTTATCATGTCCTTGACACTTTGCTTTAAAGTATAACGAGATACTTACATGAAATTTACGCAACATCAAACTGAAATATGCATCATTAACTACAAATCAAAGAAATTACTTATTATATGCATTTGTTCTTAATAACTTTAAAAATGTTAAGTAAACACCTAGAAGTTTGGTTCAGTGTAGTGATTCGCGTGGTGATGATGATGATGATGATGATGGTCACAAAAATGCTGGTGAACTGACGACTAATATTTGAGATCAAGATGAGATCAAACAAGATCCACACGAGATCAAAAGCGTGAATGAAAAAGCCGACATCAGCGTAATAGAAACCGGATCTCTAGAGAAAGGATGGGTAGTTAGAAAAGTTTCTGCTCAAGCATCCGTATTTACACCTGACAGCCCTATTTCTCTTCCTGAGAAACCAACACCACTTGAGAGGTTTGGCTTGGAGATTCAAGTACAAAAGGTACTCAAACCAATTTTCATATTGGTTGTGAAGACAGAATCATAAAGAAAAAAAAGTTTCGCAAGGTGGTCTCAAGTTACATTCAGGACCATAAGAACATTGAAGAAACCGCGGAAGAGGAAGAGTTTTTTGGTTTTTTTTTTACTAAAAGTGAATAATAATTTCAAATCACAACTGTTAAGCTACACATACGCAGAGGACAATTATGCAGATTGTTTGCTGAATAGATATATTAGATTTTTTATAAGACGAAATGTCAAGAGATATTGCATTACCTTTAAACTCATAGATTTCATAATTCATATTTATTGGAAGTATGTATTAAAAAAATTGAAAGAAAAAAAATTGTGTTATTCAATAATTTGCGGGACGCATATGTTTCGGAGGCGCGAGTAATGTAGTAGAAATTCCCTCGATCAAATTAATAATATGCAAATATGTTATCAATCAAATGCTCCCTTTTGTTCTAGCTATGGTACATCAAACGTTGTGGTAACCAGGACAAAGACGATGACTCAGCGTCTTTGGGTAAGACTGTAAATACCGGTGAGCACACTGATGTTCTAGTTAGTAAGTCTGCCAGCCGTTGAACAGTGCAGATCGTGGAATAAGATGAGGGATTTTTTTGTTCCTCGTTTGCGGGTCTCAAAACACTGCAGACCATTTGGAGTACATTAGGTTCTAAAACTACTTAAAAATAAAGGTTAATTAAGGAATGTTTGGAAACACTGCTCTGAGACATAAGGTCTTGGAGCTTTGGAAGCTCCACCAACTGGTTACAGACCTTGAATAGCTAACGCACAAGATAGCTTAGGAACATTTATTTAAGAATCATTTGAGGATCATTACTGTGTACATATTTAGTAATCTAATTCCACATAATTCTTGTTTATTTTATTTTGACCAATCAATTTTAGGCGTAGGTAATGCTAGGAAAATTATACATCTCTCTCTCCATGGCTGGAGAACCCATAGAATATATTAAAGTATCATTGTTTGTAAGGATTTTTATGTAGTTTAGGAATCCATTTCTAGGTATGGTAATTCAAATTCAATTTGATTGCTGGGAATATCAAAAATATTAACAAGAGGCCTATGGGCCACTTCGCTCACCTGAGCACTGTGGCTAGGAAAAAAAGCAAAAATCAATTCAGTTTTGAAAAGCTTAAATGCATAAGTGGTCCGACTTACCCCTAAAACAGGGGGAAGGGGTAAGTGGGTATGATTTGAACAAAATTGAATCTACACTATCTGAGGATGCTTCCATATAGATATAACCAATCAGGGCTTTGCTGCTCTTGGGAAGAAGATTTTTAAAGATTTTTCCTATATACCCCTATGTAAAACTTTGATCTTCCATTGTGGCCCCACCCTACCCCCCAGGGGACATGAATTGAACAATCTTGAATCTACACCACCCGAGGATGCTTTCATATGAATGTGACCAATCATGACTTTGCTGTTCTTGAGAAGAATATTTTTAAAGATTTTTCCAATAAACTCCTGTAAACTTTTGATCGTCCATTGTGCCCCCCCCCCCCCCCGGGTGTCATGATTTGAACAAACTTGAATCTACACCACCTGAGGATGCTTCAATGAAAATATGACCAATGATAGCTTTGCTGTTCTGAAGATTTTTAAAGATTTTTCCTATATTCCTGTGTAAAACCTTGATCGTACCCCCGGGGTCATGTTTTGAACAAATTTGAATCTACACTATCTGACGATGATTTCTCGTGAGTTTCATCTTTCCTGGCCCTTTGGTTTTGAAAAGAAGATTTTTTAAAGATGCCATTAATTGGCCAAGTGGTTCTGGAGAAGATGAAATTGTGAAAAGTTAACGACGACAGCGACAACGACGAGAGACAATTGACCAATTTCGATCAGAAAAGCTCACTTGAGCCTTCGGCTCAGATGAGCTTAAAACTCTACAATACAATCAAAACAATGAGCCTTACAAACAAAGACAATGTTGTTACCTGGTTTTTCAGTTGGGACCAGAACATATTGATCGTGTAATATATCTAATTCTTTTCTCATTTCTAAATTATAGAAGACGGAAGGAAAGATGGTTTTCATATTCCCCCTCTGCTGCTTAATTCGAGATATCAACACCCAACTAATACTTTTACCGTAATCCTAATTAATTATGAAAAAGTTTCAAGGTCTTCTTTTTCATGTTTGGCCCATCACTTAGGGTTATCTTCCACAAAATTCATAATATTTATGAAATTTTGACGCCAATTGAAAGATCGGGATTCCCTAAATTTTGGCTCTTTTGAAATGTGATTTAAAGTCAACATAATTAATTAAATTTACGTCATCAGTAATGAAGTGTCTAGCTGGACTATATATAGTTGAATAGTAAAGAAGAACATGAACACGTAGGAGGACTATGTTTAAGATGTTCGATATCTAGGCACTGTAGAGTTTCTTGTAATTAAATAGTTAGTCGATGAATATTTGTAAGAAATATAAGGTGTGGACTTCATCTTGAATTATGGTGGAATACAAGATCGGACCCTTTTGAGACTAAGAATATTATAATATTCACTGCATCAATTCCTTTGCTGGGAAATTGAAGTGTAAGGAATATAGGTTGCTTTAGCGATATTTCCCTATGTAAAACATCTGTATTCTGGTGTCGAAGAGTCCAAAAACGAATTTCCTTGATCTTTTCAAATAGACCATTCAACACGTTCAAAAGGAACAGAGAAAAGTTCGGTACGAATGTGATGAAAACCTGTTTATTTACATAACGTAGTAATGAAACAAAAGATACATGCTGTATAATAGGTTTAATGTTAGACTGAAGTCCATGATTACGCTTACGTCTCTGTGCATTGTTGGAAAGTCCAATCACATTCACATTGCTACATTGTGGACTTGAAAGATTCCCAAAGCTTTGACATTATCATTTCTACCATATGGAAAGGTCGTACCTAGCTTTCTAATCCAGTATCTTTTTGTTGTCTAGGCCCATTGTCTTCATCTTATCCTTTTAATTATTTCTTTTTTTCACAAAAGGAATCCAGAGAAGGTTGTGACAGGTACAGAAAGGGAATAATAACCAGTCCCAGTATAACGTTTAACCCACACCTTGTCTCCCTGGTTAAGCCTTAAGACAACCAGGTTAACCCCTGCCTCATAATAATCCTTATCACTACCGTCGTATGCCATTGTTCTGACTTTAGATTCTCCATTCAATACAATGTCCATCCGAATCTCATTTGTACCATAACTCTGTACACTGACAAAGAAGACGTAGTGTCCGTCCACGGGGGTCGTGAACATCCCTGTTGTAGGGTCATAACCTCCTCCTGTATTAAATATTATCTTAGGGAAAACAAGTATACTTCCGGTCCATGAAGAGGCAGAAGACGTAATACCGGCAGTAAAGGCTACATTTGTAGATACACCTAAAATCCAATAACTGTATTAGCAATGATCACAAAAAATTGTTAATGTTTATTAATAGCGATTCTCTGTAACCACTTAAACTTCTTTGCCACGCATGGTCACCGATTTTGATGAAACTTTACCCATTATTACATGTTGACACCAGAAACATATATCAAATCAAATTTCGTTGCTATGCGTCTTGGTTGCCATGGTTACAGCCAGAAAAGTTGGAAAAATTGAGATTTTCAGCTACTTTGAATCTTTATTAAGCCTTAATAAAGACTAAGAAAAACAAACAAACCATTCTCACAAAAACCTGACACCTTGTTGCCACTTATGCTATAAAGAAACTATTTAGAATTTATCTCTAAGTAAGTGGTAACCATGGGTACATTTGGAATACATTTTAGATGCTGAAAAATGCAGAAAAACGCTCAATATTCACTAATGATAGGTGTTAAATGATCAAACTCAATCAACAACCTAAGAAAAAACAATAAAAATATTTGATCTTAAGTAATTAGGTATTGGCAATATTATTCTAAAAATAACTTTCATGGTTGCCATGGTAACACAGTGTAACCATGCAAAATATGTTGCTAAGATTGGGTTAATGCTACTATCTTCAGGAAAAACAATAAATTTCATGACTGGCACATATACATCCTTAGGACCTTGCAACACCGACAACATAAGAAAAATTGGGATTAATTGTTACTTTGCAGTGCAACCATGGAAACAATGTACCAGTTGTTTAAAGTGATATTTTTTTTGCTCCTTAGGAATTTACTTACTTTTTATTCAAGAAACATATTATTTGACTCACCTTGAATAGTACTTATCTGGAAGAACTAAAGTTGAATATCATATATTGATAACATTTGTTGAAAAATACAACACTGTTGCTATGGTAACCAAGAAGGAAACATGTTCGATTTTGTTAATTTTATATCAATATTAAACCCTATGTGCCAGCTTTTTGCATCCAGTTAGAGATTGTGTGGCAGTCAAAATTGAAAGTCAGGTTAGTTGTTCATAATTATCAATCATAAAAGTTTTGGGAATCTACATACAAGGGTACGTATCCAAGGAAACAGAATATTTTTCAGATTTTTATGCATATTTTTTCGGCTTATTAATATTTTTCAGATTTTTATGCATATTTTTTCGGCTTATTTCCATAGCAACGCACTATTTAAAGAATTGAATTTGAATTTTTTGAAATGTGAAAATTAGGGTCACATGAACATCTTTAAAAATTGATCATTAGTTATACAAAAATATGCTTTTTAAAAAGATAGGATAAGATTTAAACACTAATAGAGTAAATTCAAAATCCCTTCTTGGTATTAAAACCATGGCAACCATTGCCATCCTATAAGAAATATCATATTTCTTCCTTGGTATATGCTACAAGGATCTTTTGTCTATTATTTGCTTGCATTTCAACCTATAATTTTTTTTATTCTTAAGTGTATGATTTTATAAAATTAAATGGGCAAAATTATTACTTTTGAATACTTTGTTTCCATAGTAACGTATGTTAAAGTTGATTTACCAAACATGTTTATCACGCATTTAAGACATAAGGCCTTCAACTTCCAGAAACAATCATTGCCACTTGTTTGCTTCGCTGCAAACGTTAACTGTGGGACTCTGAACATGTTGAAAAATGCCATTTTTCAAACTTTAGGACATGTTGCCATGGTAACCATGTCACGTAGCAACCATTTTCTGCCTGATTTGAGTTTACAGTATCAAAGACTTTTATCATAGAGAGTTTGGAGAAATTCTGAGACTATGTGTGCCACAGCTCCTATATAAAAGTTCAAGTCGTTACAGAGAATGGCTCTTAACATCTGACTTTTATGATCTAAAGGGATGCATTCCTAAATAAGACAAAGTAAGGGGATATATACAAATTCTGCAACTGAATAATATTTTAATCAATACACCGATTACATATGAATAGTACATTAAAACACATACACTCACACCTAAGAAATAAATTTCGCGTTTTCGTGAATGTTGCAGGATAACCTCCGAGGTCGAGAAATGTTGCTTTGAAATATAAAAGCTGATTATTGTTAAAACAATAAAATAGATAACGGATTCATAAAAATCAATAAATTTACACACTGAATTGTCTACGATATTTTCCTTTTTCCCGATCATGAAAAGGAGCCCACGGCGGGTGTGAGCGATCGACGGGGGATCCTTATTCCTCCATGTCACCTGATCAAACCACTTATGTGTTTGGAGGTCCGTGTTTGATCTGCTCCCGATTTGTATTGTTTAAATGGACTGTAGCTTGAATACTGTTGGTTATTTCCATATTTCATTGTTTTCAAAGGGGTCGTCAACATACGCTATCGTGAGCCTTTACCAGAACTCTCCGCTGGTCGGAATTTACAGAAACAGCCGAGCCTCTGGTTGAACGAGACTCCGTATTTTAGAGCTGTTAGTAGATTAAGAATATAAATATTGAAAGAAGTTCTTGTCATCAATAATCCAGGATAATTTCCTCGGTCTCGAAATGTTGTTTGTAATATTAAAACCTCGGCTTTAATTTATTTTTCAAAACAACATTTCGAGACCTCGGAGGTTATCCTGCAATATTTACGAAAACTTTACTTTAATGTACTACTAATATGCAATCGGTGTATTGTTTGAGATGTGCTCCTGATCTCATATTTTCATGACGTTCTTGATTTATTGAAAATAATGTCTGCGGCATTTCTTTGATCTCGGCAATAACTGTAGTAGAATTGTAAATGATTTAAGACCTTTTAACTCGACAAAAACTCTGAAATTGTAATATCATATCACGACAAGTATAAATTTACATGCATCGCCAAAAGTGATAAGGAAGCGTTCTTATTAGACGTATGATCATCAAACTGCATTATAAATGCTTTACGTACATGTATTTTAAAATTATTTTTATACTAAAACTTGTGAAAGAAAGTAAAATTCATTACTAAGCATTAAATTCATTCACCTGTCTTTAATAGAAAACGAAATAGGAGTGTACATACCACACTGTCTATTGGTAAAATTCAATCGAAACACCTCTAAAGATGACACAGCAGAGGAGAGTTTTAATTGTTCAAACTGAGTCTGTTTGACTTCCGATTTTAGCCCCTCCATTGTGTTGTTCATATTATCTAAAAAGAAAAAGTACTAGGAAAATATATGTTCATTATTTCATCTGCTTTCATTTGTAAATCTACATGTATATTGCGCAGCTCTAAAAATAATAAACTGTAGGGTTAATATATGTATTAATCAATCCATGGCAAACGCACCTTATTTATTTACCAATAAAACTCATGATCGGGTAAACGGAAAAATCCGTAGTAAACGACAGATTGTATTTGCATATTTTATCGGTCATAGAATTTACAAAAGATCGACTTGATGCTATCCAACTGAGAGATCAACTCCATATGTTGGTAATAATGGTATATTGCTACAGGAATAAAGGAAGTCATCACGTTTATCATAAAGTGTAGTTTTTAGTTTGGCATCAATGTCTTTTTGTGTCGCACTAAGGGATCACTTCTGTCTGTCTAGCTGTCCGTCTGTCACATCCTATATCTAGAACTGTAAGAGGTATAGATTTGATATTTTGCACATATATTGCTTGGCACTGTGGCGTTTGTAAATTACCATGGTTACTGACCTTGTGACCTTTGACCTACTTTTCAAAATAGCTCATAGTGCCGATATACAGCATATTTTTGACATTTTAAAAGAGGTAGGTCTATGCTATTTAGCATGTACACTGTTGTCAAAATACAATATGAAAAATACCAGCATTACCATCCACTTGACCTTGACCTTTGACTACTTTGCAAAAAATATCTCGGACAGTTAAATTAAACTTATGAATTTTGAATTTTGAGAGGCAGGGTCTAGATAATTAGCATTTATAAATGTTTATGGGCTCATGATAGTGTACTGAAGCCGTATGATATTCAGTTACCAGACAAACATATATTTTTAAAGACTATGAAAAATACATCGGGATCGGTGTTCCATAATGGATCGTGTAGACTGAGAATTTCAGTAAAGACAGACTGACTGAAATCTCTTTTGAATGATCATTGGAAACACGTTTAGCTCATGAAAAAGTACTTTGAAACTGTACGAAATACAGTTACATGTACCACACAAATTTATATTCAATAAAAATACATCGGGATCGGTATTCAACAATGGATCGTGTAGACTGACAATTGTAGTAAAGACAGACAGAAATCTCTTTTGGAGGATTGTTGGAAACACATATTAATTAACAAAATGACAAATAGTTCTTTCTAATAATTTCAATTTAATTATTCATTTGAGGGTTATGGAGCCATATTTTCTTTAATTGTCATATTCTATCGCAGTCATACTATCCATGGATGCCATTTTTTCTTTGCAGACAAATGCATTGAACTATCAGTCTTTCATGCCTATAGTAAACAAGCATTCTGAGAGTATTGCATTAGCAATACTAGTCCCCTACCGGCAAGTGCAATTTGGTTCCCGTTAAGAATTGAAAGTGCCATAAATCCGCCAAAAATCAATGAAGCGGGACGAAATGCAAACTTGATCTATACATGATCTATATCAAGGTAAAGTCACTTACCAAAAATCAGCTCAATATCTGAAAGCATTTAGAAGAAAATTGCGGAAAACCCCTAAAAATTGAAAAGGCCGTAATTCCGTCAAAAATCAATGAAGCGGGACGAAATGTAAACTTGATCTGTAACTCATCAAGATGCACTCACATACCAAAAATCAGCTCAATATCTGCAAGCATTTAGAAGAAAAGTGCGGAAAACCAAGTGGGACAAACTGACAGAGGGACAGACAGACAGACAGACGGACAGACGGACGGACAGACTCAGAGGAAACCTATAGTCCCCTCCGGTTTCACCGGTAGGGGACTAATAAAAAGCTGACCACTCTTAGATGTATTTACACCTTTAATGAAGCTACAAAGCAGGCGACACATGCGTTCCATGGAACACTCCAGTAATAATAAAATATCCAAATATGAAACAGATATATCAAACTCTGTGGTGGTGTCTTTTATTTCGAGTTCAATGGGATATATCGTATCAACGTAGGTATGAAACTAAATATTGTCAAAAATACATAGATGTTGTGAATGAAAAAGTGAATTATGTAGTATCAAAAGATCGGACAAAAAGTTTCATGATGACTAGTATATTTAGGTCTGTTCGGTTTTTCAAAAACAGTAGAACTTATGAATTGGGTCTTCTAAATAAACCATTATCATGTATTTCTATGATTTTTTTAAAGAGCATTATCAGAAGTCAGAGAAGATAGTACAAAGTTTGGACTTCATTCCCTTAGATCAGGTGGAGCAACGGCAGCAGCAAATCTTGACATTCCAGACAGACTTTTTAAAGCGCATGGAAAAGGAAGGAGCAAGTCTGCCAAAATGGTTATGTTAAAGATAATATTGATAATATTCTCTCTGTATCTAAAAATTTGGATTGTGATTAGTATAAGAATAAATTATTATAATAAACCTGTATGTAATGTTCCAGTCACCCGACGTTTGTTATTCGAAATGGCTATCTATATTCTATACTATACTATATTCTATGCTCTTTTTTTGTATATTAGAACAGGAAATGATTTATGTTCGGGTGAGCTAAGCGAAAGAGAACATGAATAAATTTCTTTTCGTTTTTAAAAATTAAAAGCATGGTTGTCCCTCAGTGGATGTGAACCGGGGACCATTGGCTTTGAAAGCTTCCGCTTGCTCCACTGAACCAGTAATGCTTTGAAGTATTGGGTATTTAAATCATTTTGTGATGTGCGTGATATTGGTTCAGGGTATTTTAAAAATTTTGAAATCGATTATTGTAATCACTCGACAAAAGTTAGCCAGCGACTTACAAGCGTTACTTTTTTTAATGCTTCAATTTTAGATGTATTTTCAGATATATGAATGAAGTTTGTTGAATGTTGCAAGCACGCTTGAGTCTTATTTAGAAACCTTTCCCAAAGGCAATCAGGATTTTTACTGACTTCTCCTTTTGCAATAGTCTTTGGTAACGTTTCCATCAGGAAATATTCCAATATTGCCAACAATGAATGTTGATCTTGCCCTCCCACGGATTCGAGGGTCTCTGTACAACTTAGGATTTAATAAATGGCTATGTTTTTTTTTTAAATATCAACCTCGAAATACTTATGTATAGAATCAACATTTTTTTTAACAAAATAAGTTTGAAGATGATCAATAACAAATGTAAGTAAATTTTTAGCTCTGTTGGTCAGAGACCAGAAAAGCTTATGCGATAGTAAGGTGTCCGTCGTCCGTCCGTCTGTCTGTAAACAATTTTTAGGTCACCTGAGTCACTCAGGTGACCTATTGCTCTCCGTTTTTGTCCGTCGTCGTCCGTAGTGCGTTAACATTTAAACATTTTCAGCTTCTCTGAAACCGCTCAACCAGTTTCAACCAATTTAGGCATATAGCATCTATTGGTGAAGGGGGACAAAAATTGTGAATTTCTTGGTCCCTGCCCCCCTGGGGCCTGAGGGGTGGGGCTAAAACCACCAAAATTATTGCAATCCTTAAAAATCTTCTTCTTTACTCCTGGACATCAAGCAGTCAGACTGTTGGCATGATTGTAATAAGCATTGAGCCCTCTACCAAAATTGTGAAATTCATGGGCCCAGGATCAGGGGTTCTGGTGCTAGGGTGGGGCTATATAGATCATATAGTGAAAATGCATTATTTCTTTGAAAATCTTCTCTGCTCCTGGGTATTAGATAACCTAACTACATGTAAGTACATAGTTATGATGAGCAAGAGTGCCTCTTCTAGAATTGTGAATTTCATGTCCCCTGGGTCAGAGGTTCTGGTGTTAGGGCGGGGCTCTATTGATTATACATGTATAGTGAAAATACATTACATGTAATTCATTGAAAATCTTCTCTGCTCCTGGGTATTAAGTAAACTAAGAATATAGTTGGTGAGCATGACTGCCTTTTCAGAAATTGTGAATTTTATGGCCCCTGGGTCAGGGGTTCAGGTGTTAGGGCGGGGCTCTTTTGATTATATAGTAATATTACATTAATTCATTGGAAATCTTCTTCTCTGCTCCTGGGTATTAAATAAACTAACTTAGTGCATAGTTATGATGAGCATGGTTGCCTCTTCCAAAATTGTGAATTTCATGGCCCCTGGGTCAGGGGTTCTGGTGTTAGGGCGGGGCTCTATTGATTATATAGTAATATTGCATTAATTCTTTGGAAATCTTATTCTCTGCTCCTGGGTATCAAATAAACTATCTTAGTGCATAGTTATGATGAGCACGGTTGCCTCTTCCAAAATTGTGAATTTCATGGCCCCTGGGTCAGGGGTTCTGGTATTTGGGTGGGGCTTTATTGATATATATATATATATATTTTAGGAATGACTCTAATTCTTGGCCAAATTATTCGAGTATAACCTGGTTTGGGTCAGTTTACGCTTTATAATCCGCGAAGCGGATTATAAAACAGCGTAAACTGACCCAAACCAGGTTATACTCGAATAATTTGGCCAAGAATTAGAGTCATTCCTTATAATTTAATTTTAAAATCATTAAATAAATATGGGTGTAAAATTTCGTTGCTTTTTATTACTTCAAATTTGCCGCTCAATAATACAACCGTATAACGGAAGTAACGGAAGTGATGGGAAGCGAGGGGAGGTAAAAACTGATACATAGGCCTAGCAGCTTGTTTACATGTGGTAAGATCGAATTATTGTTTGAAGTTAAAGGTATATTTATTAAATCTGGAATTTTCCATGAATCCCGAGGACTGGAAATGAGAGGATTGTATGCATACAGATGATTCAGCTGGTTGTCAGGGGTGTGTGTCCCCATACCAAACCAGGTTATACAGAAATAATTTGTGTTCCTTTTTGGATATTAACCAATCAGAGGCTAGAATACAAACAAAATTAAATTATATATATATATATATATATATATATATATATATATATATATATATATATATATATATATATATATATATATAATGAAAATACATTAATTCTTTGAAAATCTTCTTCTCTCTCCTGGATATTAAATAAACTAAGTACATAGTTATGATTGTGAATTTCATGGCCCTAGGGTCAAGGGTACTGTTGTAAGGGCAGGGCTCTATCGATTATACAGTGAAAATGCATAAATTCTTTCAAAATCTTCTTCTCTGCTCCTGGGTATTATTCAAACAAAGTAAGCGCATGGTTATGATAAGGAAGAATGCCTCTTCCAAAATTGTGAAATTTATAGCCCCTGGGTCAGGGGCTCTGGTGAAGGGGGGACTCTATTGATTATATAGTGAAAATGCATAATTTCTTTCAAAATATTTTTTCTACTACTGGTTATAAAGCAAAGAAACAAGTGTATAGTTATGATGAGCAAGGGTGCTTCTTCCAGAATTGTGAGTTCATGGCCCCAGTCAGATGCTCTGGTGTAAGGGTGGGGCTTTATTTATTTAATAATATAGTGAAAATGCATTTCTTTGAAAATCTTCTATGCTTCTGGGCATATTTGAAGCAAACAGAGTAAAAGTTTTAATATGCAAAGGTATCTTTACCAGAATTTTGAACCTCTGGACCATTTAGTCAAGTGTTCTGGTCCTGGCCAGGGCTCTATTAACTTGTATTCTGCTGAGCAAAGTTATTCCCCTTTGCCATTCACCTTTGATAATTAATCACTGTAAACAAATTATTTGAAAGGTTAATGGAATACGAGAATTATGCAAGAATATTTATCGTATAATACAAAAAGTACTTTCATAGTTTCAATGATCAGGTAGACTTGGAAATAATAGATGAATAAAAATGAGACAAAAATAACTTATCTTTTTAAATGTTCTTCAAAGGCCAAGAGAGGCCAATGTGAGAAGTAATAATATGGGGTTAAAAAATAGACATTTTGTTAATGGTCCGCATGGTAATACCTGTAGTGATAAATGGTGGACAGATTAGGTACTAGACCAATTATTTTGTTGCTGCTAATCATACTATTTTTCTTGCTTTTGGGCAACAAAGCTTCATTTATCAGTTTATGGATCCTCTAAATTGTACTATACTCAGGTGACCGTTAAGGCCCTTGGGCCTCTTGTTAATATCCTAATCCTTATCTTTAAATGTGGTGATAATCTCCAGATTGGTTTTTGAGAAAAAAATTACAACCTCTTTTTTTTTTTTATATTTCCCCAATTTTCTTCTGTTCTATCCGTCATACGATGTTCGTACTGTGTAATACTTTGCAACGCAACATGTCTTTCATAAGCAAAGAAGTGGCATAGCTAGGAGAAATAATAATTCATATACATGTATTTCTCTGTAAATTGTATTTGATTTGATTTGATTTGATTTCCCATCCTAGTCAGATGTAGCTATGTGCTTGAAATTTTTAGCAGCGCCATTACCGAGATGTATGAGGACACAAAGTATTCATATCCGTAGTTTACGTAAGTTCTCCTTATCTAGGTAATATTTTTTGAATTTCGGTCACTAATTTCAATAACTTGTCAGCGTCAGTAATTGTCAGAGGGAGACAGGGAATGAGACGTTAACATGATTTGGAAATCAAAAAAGGATGAAGTAAAAGTTGGTAAAATTTTCCCTAGTAGCATGAGATTTGGTGTCGAGCGAAGCGAGTAACCAAATCGAATGGCGAGGGAAAAGTTTAGCACCATATTTACATCTAGTACATGTTTTACACGAGAAATTAAACTCTTTGTGTTGCTATCTATTTTATCACAACTATTGTGTGTTTGGTGCTATTTACCGGTAACCAAGATAATAATCACCAAGATGATGATTTGATTCTGACTGGTGCAATTTTGCACAGATCCAGATGTGATAATTATAAAAGGGGTATATTTACCTGTCTGCAACAAGTCAGGTGACAGCCAACAGTGATTAGATTTCAAACATAATTAGGTTCATTTCAGAATTTTGAAAATTTCAATCTATGTATGAGGACGGTCATGTCAGTTCTAATAGACTAAATTCAGGAAATTAGGAGTCTTTTGGACTTAGGTGATGATTACTTTTTGGGAGTAGATAAAGATTTTTTTTTTAAAAAATGATTTCCTAATGCTATTTCTCAAATTGCTCAAGAAAAGCGAAGAATTCCACAGAATTTATATGACATTTGTAAAAAAAAAAAAAAAAAAAAAAAAAAAAAAAAATCATTACTCTTGAAATGGAAGACAAGGTGGCGAGTAACTCTTTTTTTTTTTATACTTTCGGATATGCTTTTTTTAACTGAAGTATCAGTGACACAACGTAAATCCTAAATTATCCGTCAAATAAACCTTACTTTTTCTGTTTTAATTTTGGCCAATGTAGATTAATGTCCGAGAGAGGAAGGGAAATAGATAGACACACACAAACACACAGAATCTTGGATAGAAGTACACAAAAAAGTTCTCCCCCCCTTTCAAATCAGTGCTTTGCCTTAAATAATTTCGTAAGTACAGTATATAAACAAATCTATACGACTACATCATAATTTTGTTTCCATCAATTATTTAAATGTGTAAATTGTCATACGTTGGACATGGACTTACACTCATTAACAAATCAAAATCACTCAGGAATTTAAAAAAACAGTTTGTCAGCATGACTCCTGCACTGAATTTCCTGAAATTTTGTAGGTATTTCAGACATAATGTGTTGATTTGTATATTACCAAGAAATTTTGATTCCATTATTTATCAACCCAATTAAATTTGTAACAGACAAAGATTTGAATGTTTGAAGATCTGAATGAATATATATGCAAGAAGTTTTGATATGATGATTTTTGAAAGTAATGCCCCTTTTTGAATTATACTATATAAAGTGCACCGTGCCATTCATTAAATGTTGCATTGTCAAGTATTAGGGGAGCGTGGGGTATGTGAGCTTGCTCACTTTTTCTTTCATTGTTTAGTGACATTGACCCTGTGTCCATGATTATAATAATTTAATATAATAATTATGTACACAATGGCAAAGTCACTCAACAATGAAGCTTGGGCTTGGAGTATATCAAGTTATTAGGTATCAACAAAAAACGTTTGTTCGAGGTTTGAAATATATACTAACCTGAATATTTAATAATTATCAAATTAATATGAATATCAATCTTCATATATATATATATATATATATATATATTTACGAGGTTTGAAATATATACTAACATGAATATTTAATAATTATCAAATTAATATGAATATCAATCTTCATATATATATATATTTTATTATTTTTTTTAAGGAATCACTGTCTAGTTAGTAGAGTATGCCAGGGCATCAACGATAGTTGGAAACGTGGGATAAGTTGCATAACGGGCGCATTGTGAAATAAAATTGTAAATTTAGATTTCAAATATGTAGACTAATAGATTTAAGAGTATGTCTCCTCGACCCCAGTGGTGTTATATTGGATTTGAAAGCAGACAGCAAATACTCTTTTACAGTTCTGCAAGATTTCAAATTTTTAGAAATGAATGACTCATTTTTAGTTCCATGGCAACTGCAGCTTTTTTGGATATTTAAACACCAGAAATTTAGAGAGACACTTACATACCAATAACATGGAAATGTAGTTTGAAATGCAGTTGCAGAAAAATCCATTTAAAGTAAAATTCCTTTTTGTTTTCATGGACACAGTTAAAAATTTGTTCAACCGATTACAGTGTACCAATGTTTTCAGAAACCAGTTTGACCAGATGAAAAGCATAAGATTTTTATGTTTCAAAAGAATAAATTGGACAGATACTTAGAAAAATGAGATTTAAAATTTTGTTTTTCATACTTCGTATGTTTCTATGGAACTGGTCGCCATTTGAAGAAGGGACACTTGTAAGAATGTGTCACCCCTTACCCCCTCAAACATAAGTGCGGCCATAATATTTTATTGGGGGAAATTTGCTTTGGGGTAATCGCACTCTGTAACTATAACGCAGAGTAATATTTGAATTTGATGTGGGAAATCCTACTCTAGAGACATTTTTCCGTGGAGGAAATCCTACTCTAGAGCCGGTTTTCCGGGTTGGAAGTATTTTAGGGGGGGAAGCCTACTCTACAAGACCGCCACTCTACTTTTAATTTTTTTTTTTTTTTTTTAAACTTAAAGGTGGAAAGTAATTAAATTGAGAGGCAAAAACAATTATAAAACATGATCAGAAGATGGAATAACAAAAATAAAATATTCTTACAGTGATTAAGGGTGAATATACTTTTACAAAATCCGAGAGCTTCCACCCACCTCCGGTTTAGGCTTAACAAAGATCCAGAAGGGGAGGGGCTTTGGTCCAAAAACTACAGCATCATTCAGCATCGAGGTGTACGCATCAATTTAAATTACACGAGGCCTCACATGCCAGGGTTATTTCAATAGTCCCCGCCCACTGACGTCAAACACAAAGACAGCCGCACGAGAATTACGTGCATATTAGGCCTTCTTAGCTCCTGACCTTTCGCTGGGCGAAATTTGCATTCCGGTGGAATGATCAAGAAATCAACTCTCCTAACTTTCAAAGAGTTATCACAGAAAAACAAATGGAAATATATATATATATATATATATATATATATATATATATATATATATATATATATATATATATATATATATATATATATATATATATATTTCAATTTTACTTCTACTCACCAGACAATGAATCCGTCATGGTCTGTTGCGTTTTCTGTAGGTCAGTTAGAGCAACATTCAGCTTATTGTTAGTAGATCTCATTTCTGCCCTATAGGCATCCAGAGAATCATTCAGACTCCCTGATATCAATACATATCTGTTGTCAATGAGTTCGGGAATATTTTTGTCTAGTTCCAGAGTGTGTTTATTGAGGTCCAGAAGCGTAGTGGACAAATACCGGACTTCAGTTTTAATGTCTGCTAAGATACCGGATGTGTTCCGTTCAAACATTTGCTTTTCCATAATCAGCTGTGTTTCGAACACTCGGCGACTGGCGTCAACCTCCGTTATATTTTCTTTTAAAGACTCAATATTTTCATTACATCTGGTAACTTTGCTACTTAATCGATTGTTTTCAAGCTTAAGCGACCGTACCTCTTTCTTCAACTCGGTTATTTCTCTGGTAGTCGTGTCTTTGAGAGAAGAAATCTCGCTTTCGGAAGACAGAAGACTTTGTTGAAGGGTCACCATGTCTTTCATCAATGCATGGACATTTTTCACTAATGTCATTCGGATCAAGGTCTCTTGATTTAGTAGCTGTCGAAAAACGTCGACGTGTTTAGTATCAAGTGCACCGAAATCTAAATCTGTAGAGTTCCTTATATTGCCGTCTGTTAGAATCGAAAAAGCGTGGGATCCAAACAAGCTTAGTACGACGAACGATAAACACGACAAACGCTTCATATTTGAAACTAAGGCAAACTGTGTTGCTCTTCACTTTATAAGCCTGATTGGTATCTAAAAATATATTTACCTCGAACATTGAGACACCAAATAAGTTGTGTTCATTTTGTATGAATGCATTAAACCACCATGTTAGCTCACCAGGGTCAAATTTTAAATTCTCTGTCTAAAAGACCACAAGGACCTGTCTATCACAAAAATCACACAACCACACCTTGTGTTGTTTTTGTAGACTGTATATGATTTTTGTAATAAATATTTCATGAAAATCAAGAGAATTTTTCGCTTCTCGGAATCTTTCAAGCAAATTCGGAAGAAAAGCTCTTTGGGAAAAAAAAGAAAAGTTGCGATTGAAACTTGTATGCCTGTATATGTAGAGTGCATTGCTGACCATGAAAGTCTAATGTAACCCGCCCTTCCCCTTCCACTTCAAAAGAGTGAATAAAAAATTAAAACAACGTAGATGCTAATAGTGTCTAGAAGCACTCACAGTTAATCTGAAATGCCCATGACAAAGTTATTTAACTATTAAAGAATGTCTATTTTTTAAGATATTTCCTTATCAAATCCAACAGATAAAAAAACCCAATGTATTCTATCATAATAGTTTGTATGAAGAAATGTAAAAGTAAATCTGTAAATATATAAGGAATTACTGTTAGTTTTTAGTATGAATGATACGTATAACTAGATTCGCCTTCATACGAATTACACGTAGCACATGAATTACATGCAGCACATGATTCAAGCATCTAATTATTCCCATCCCATCCCCCTTCTCGCCAAAGACATTGCTTAAAAATATATATAATCTACATTATACATGTTTTTTTTTAGGTCAATGACAATGTGCCATTATTCGTTTTATGACACTATTCGGTGAGTCTGCGCTATGAGATATGAGGTGGAAGTTTGTGTTTACCCCCACGTGCTTGTGATAAGATGCCTGTTTTCGTGAGATCCAAAAGTCGCGCCCATGAGCCTCATGACAAATATTTTATGATTTTAAAGAAAGAATCTTGTCTTCTTCTTTAGCACTCTTATCCTAAAAAAATCCCCAAATAATGTTATCAATGTGAAATGTTTACATGATAATTCACAAAGTCTTCTTTGGAAAGGATGATATAGAAGAAAGAATACATACTTCTTCATGAGAACTCTCATCCTAAATGATTAAAAAAATATTTATCAACATGAAATGTTTACAAACAGTTCTTACTGATAATATCTCGTGTATGCGATAAAAAGAAGGATGGAATCTGAATCTGACATTAAAGGCGTTAGGTTACATGTCTTGAATTTTAGACGACTATATTCTCTTCCCACAAAATTCTATCAAAATATAAAATTTGATGAAATAGCTTACAGCAAATATATCTGAACAATATTTGGGAAGACAGTACATATAATAAATGTTTCACTAAAAAGCTCTGAAATTCTGCAAAATTCTTGATTTTTCAATATGTATTAAATCATTAAGGATTTTTTCAGACATTGAAAATCTTAAAAAATCAAAAAAAAATTAAAAATAGCACAGTTTAGATTTAAAACATGTATTAGTAATCATAGGGCTATCAAAAGCCCTGTGATGGCTACATCGAGCAATAGTCAATTAACCGGTGTAAAAAGAAGATATATGTTCACAAATGCATGCGATGAAAAAAGAAAACTATCAGATTTATAACTTCCGAGTTTTCCATGGGACAGACTTTCATGTTGCTGAATTTTTAATCTTCAATTATCCTGTATTTACACACACTTTTTAATGAATTCATAACTTTTTAAATTTTAAAATATTTTCCACTTATGTGCTTCTTTTTGTTTGAACAACACCCCCTCCACTTTCGCGTTTATGTAAAAGAAACTTAGGCTGGACAAATTTTAGTACTAAAACAATTTCAATGACTTTAGTACTATTTCTTTATGACTAAAGGTCTTGAAATCTACAACTGATTGGTTAAATGTTAGGTGGGTCCACGAAGTATCGACAACAATTTTGTCAAAAACGGTTTTTCTACAAAAACCTGGTTCTCTGAACTCCTCTTACATTTTTTGCAGTATCCATTCATATTTTGGAATATGATTGGGAGAGTTCTGTTAATGTGCAATAAGATTTCGAAATTTCGATTTTCACCCTCTGGGCCAAACGGGGGTAAAAAAACCGATGTTTTGTACAAAAATTGGTTCCTTGGACTCTTACATTTTTTACAGTAGCCCATTCATCTTTTGGAATATGATTGGGAGTGTCCTATAAATATGCGATAAGGCAAACGGGGGTCAAAAAACATCTTTTTTTTATAGGATATATGATTATTTCCAGTTTCATAGGGTGGGAATGACCTCCGGGGGTCATGACCCATATATTATTTAATGTGACATTATATAAAGACAGTTCTGGAGCTTTCAAGTTTAATTAAAAATATTTGATTATTTCCGGTTCTAGGCCAACTAAGTAATTGCACATGGTACCCAGTCTTTAGCCCTTTCCAAGCCATAGATATCAAACCATGTACAATTCAGATTTTTTTTACCCGTATTACCTTTTAACGACAAAATGTTACTGGTACGTAACATCATAGTGATAAATTACCCATTTAAAAAAATCCCTGCTGATTGAACATCACAAAAATAATCCAGATTATTTATCAGTACACAACGTGCAACCCAAAGAGTACGGTAAAAAGTGATACCAGATTTAGATTCAGATCTAGATTTTTTTTTCCAAAGAGACGTAGTTATCTATCCCGCATATGTCAGGCAAACAGGTGAATTGGGGTGGAAGCTGATTTGGGCAAAATTATCAGGTGTGAAAAGAATTGGAAAAGCGTTTCCCCTCCTATCATTTCATTACTGAAAACTGTCATATTGGTAACTTAAATTTCAAATTCATTAAGATCACCTTGCAAAAAAAAAAAAAAAAAATTATATTTTTTGCATTGACAACAATTCAATAAATACAACTTTGAGAAGGATGTTTTTTACAAGGAGAACTAATATTATTTGTTAATCGCAGACGATTGCAAAATATTCCTCTAAATTCCATCAAAATAAATAACATATCAATTTATCTCTTTGAAAATAATCAATGTGTCACAAAGATCATGCTATCAGACACCTGACATATTCATCATTTCAAAAAAAACAAAGAAAAAGAAAAAGAAAAAACTACAGTAAAACACTTTTTATTCACGAGAACTTTATTTTTGGGTAATTACTCGAGATGATCTGCTTGCTAAACTTTCATTCCCGCATGTATTTTTATAAGTAAAGATTATATAAAACAATAACCAGAATTCGTGTTTTGTCTCACTTATAAATACCAAAGACTTATTCATCTCGCGAAAAAAAGGTGTCGCGAAAATCTGGTAATTTACAGTAATATATATAATATATTCCTTTTCCTGTTTAGATATGTACAAAACAATAAGATTGTTGTTTTGTATACAGAGTGGATAGGAATTTTAACAGGAAAACAGTTTACATGGGTTTATGTGTTTATACCAACACTTTCTGAAGCAACATCGGGTATATTGTTATCGTGGTCCGTCTGTCCGTCTGTCACATTTTCTTCTTCCTCAAATTCCTCATACAATTTATGCAGTAACCACTTCATCTTTTGGAATATGATAGTAATGTCCTGTAGATGTGCAATAAGGTTTCAAAGTTTTCATTTTAACCCATGGGGACCAAATGGGAGTCGAAAAAAGTTTTTCAATAATTTTACGCAGTAACCGAATCGGGTTTTTTTTGTAGGATGATTGGATGTGTCCTGTAGATATACAGTAAGTTCGGATTTTTTTTCGCCCTAGGGGTTAGATGGGGATCGAAAAACGACGCGGACGTTTTTTTCTTCAGAAATCTGGTTCCCAAAATTCCTCATACATTTTACCCAGAAGCAACATCATCTTTTGAAAGGTTATTGAGGGTGTCCTGTAGATGTGCAATAAGGTTTTACAATTTTCATTTTCTCTCCAATTAGCGGTAAAAAAAAAATACACTTTTCATTTTACAAAAACCTGGTTCCCAGAACTCCTCTTGCATTTTACACAGTAACCATTCCATTTTTTATTTTGCGAAATGATTGGGGGTGGTGGTTCCTGTGGATGTGCAATAAGGTTTCGGCATTTTTATTTTCAACCTGGGGTCAAATGGGGTCAAAATTAAAAAAAAGGTGAAGATAACGAAAAGTAATCGATCGCAAAAAAACCTACAAACAATACAGATCTGTGAACAGGGCATAAAACACGGACCCCCAGAAGAAATTCCAGAGGGGGAATCAGGCCTATAGTAGGAGTAAGCATCCTCTGTCGACTGGTCATATCCGCCATGAGCCCTATGTATTGATCAGGCAGACGTAATATTCCGTAGTCAAAATTAGCATAATACATAGTCTTCCGTAGTCGAATTTAGTATAAAAACATAATACATGTATATGGTTCCCAGAACTCCTCTTACATTTTGCAAAGTATCCATCTTGTCTTTTGCGAGATGATTGAGGGTGCTCTGTAGATATCGATGTGTAATAAGGGTTTCATTTCATCCTTTTGGGCCAAATGGGGATCACACATACGACGTTTATTTTTTATTTTACAAAACCTGGTTCCCAGAATATTTTTTTTTTTTACATTTTAGCCATTTCATCTTTGCAAGATGATTAGAGATGATCTCCAAGGGCCTAACCGTATATATCATTAAAGGCGATATGACACAAAGAACAAGATTGTATATGATTTAGGTTAAAGATTTAAATTGTTTTAAAGATATTTGACCATTTCTAGAGAGTGAAATGACTTCCAGAGGTTTAAATGTTGTTTTTAAGATTTGACCATTACCAGTTTCAGGGGGTAGGGGTGATCTCCAGGGGTTAATGAACTATTTAACATTTAATACATCATGATACAAAGAAAAATTCCCAGTTTCAGGAAGTGAAGAGTAATTTAGCAGTCCGATTAATGTGTTAAATAACTTGCATTTTGCATCCATGATTATGTTTATTTATAGATTTATAAATTTGATTATTTTAGCACGTCGCGCCTTTAAGTGGCACCCTATATATCTGTAGATTTCTTACCTATTGACAGCTAGGGTTAATCCATTTGAAGCAAGATAAGAGATTCTATACGTAACACCACAAGTAGATTGTTTATGAAATAAACAAACACCATGTGCAAATCAAGAGTATGGCAAATTTATCCGTACCATTGAAATAAGGGAAGGACGCTGTAACTATGATGATAATACTAAAATGCCAGAAATTTTCCAAGGAAGGGGTAGTTGAGGCAAATAAAGCAGGAAAACAGATGAATTGTGAATTAGGGATGAAGGTATATTTGGTTGATTCCGAGGTCAATCAAGGTCACCCGGGTGAATTTGGAAAGCCCACCCCCCGAACTCCCTACCCCCTCCCCCACCCCTCCAAATACAATCATATAAGTCTGAATTAATTGTTTTCGATAAAATATCATTCCGGCGTCTAAAAATGTCAATTTCATCAAAATTGCCAGGTATTGAAAAATACTATTATCTAGATGGAATGGACAAAAATTCATCAAATTCTAATTTTTCGGCCGAATTTTTTCTTCTTTTTGTTGAAGAAAGGCATCCTTTAAAAAAAAAAACAGAAAATGTTTTAAAAACAGAAATAACTTTATTACATTCAATCATTTCAAACGGGTAATGAATTAATTATTTGAAATGCTAACATAAGAGGCCCGTGTATTTTGTGCTCAATTTGATACGTCTACATATTTCATGAACATGTAAATTACAGTTACTATCGTGGTTTCTTGGCTACCCAAGTACTAGGAAGCTAGCTTAATTTAGAGACAAACACTTACGTGCGGGCATCACTGTCTTATGACAGCATCTACATTTTTTCCCTTTATGATTTTGTTTGTTTTAGTTTTTTGTTTTGTTGCTTTTATGGTTTGGTGAAATAAAATCGACTAAACCAATCCAAGTTTTGTTGAGCGACTTCATAAACAGAGTGCATAACAAATAACATCACATAGTACATGTCACTTCGTATAGAAGTTTCGAGTTACAATAACTTGACAAGTGCCGTTGGTGTTCTCACTCGCTTTGTAGTCTAAAATGTCAAAAAAAATCTTACAAGAAAAGATACGTAGCAGGTTCTAGCAAATGGTCTACCGAGGCCCTTTCTTTACTCCCCAAGAAAGAAGGAGAGACTTAAGTACTGTCCAAAAAGATATTCGAGTGGTATTAACCAATGTGCATATTTTAAAATCCAAGGAACTTCTTAAAAATTTAAAATCACGGAAATCACAAAATAAACCAAAATCAATAGCATCAAATCATACGACTTTTCAACACTTCATACAGCCATTCCCTTAATGTAAATGGTGAAGATAACGCACAATGATCAATCTCATAAACTCAGTAAACAAAACAAATCGTGAACAGAGCAAAAACACGGAACCCTGGAAACACCAGAGGTGGGATCAGGTGCGTAGGAGGAGTAAGCATTCCCTATTTGACCTGTCACACCCACCCTGAGCCTTATGTATTGATCAGGAATATTGAGTACTCTGTAGTTAAATTTAGTATTAAAGCAATGACCTACCAATTATAGACCAGGCTTTTTGGCATTTTCAGACAACTGCTTCTTCATGTAAATTTGCATACCTTGTCATTCTTCATCTACAAACCTATTTTGTTAAAAAAAAAAAAAAAAAAAAAAAAAAAAAAAAACCATTCTGATTCCACTTTACTAGAACTCTGAGGTTGATATTAAAAAGATTCTTGAGATTCTCATCGGCAATATCTATAAATTCTTCGGATACTTGGTCTTTCAATTCCCCTGGGGACTAATTATGCCTGTTATTAGCAGACCTTTTTGTATTTTTATGAAGCAAAATTAATTGAAATACTTCTACAGGAAAAGGGGAAAAAAAAAAACTCTTGCTGTGGCCTTCAATTCGACATTTAGCTAAATGGACGATTTTCATTCCTACGTTGATTCGATATACTAGTATCCCATTGAAATGCCGTTGAACTCAGAATAAAAGACACCACAGAGTCAGACACATCTGTTTCATATTTGCATGTTTTACAAGAAAAAGACATTGACAGCAAACTAACATTTAAACTTTATGATAAACGTGATGACTTCATGGCACCTGATCCCACCTCTATTTTCAGTGGTCCGTGTTTGCTCTGGTCACAGTTTGTATTGTTAAATTGGACTTTTGAGCCTGATTACCGTTCGTAATCTTCACATTTTGTATAAGTGAACAGTTTTAACATAGCGAAGTTACAATTTCCAAACAATCAAAATTTTTTTCAGGAGGGTGAATATAAATGTATCAGTCCGACAGATGCTTCGTCTGGTCATTCTAGTAATACACGAAGCTCGTCTATGAAATTTCAAACAGAACCAATTACATATAATGTTGCAAATACCAGGTAAGTTACTGACTGATATTGAAAATTTTCTGTTTAACAGTACATTTAAATGGCTGACGACACTAATGTTTTGTAGATTTCTTAAGATTGCAAACCATATTTGTAAACATTTGAGAAATACCTTGTTTGTATTGAGGGATTTTGACAATCACTCGGGAAAATCGGGTTCTTGAATCCAAACAACAATACGCCAACAGAAAACACCAAAGGATAAGTGCTGCAACAAACACTGTCGAACAGTATTTCAGGTTGAAATTTTTGGCACGGTCTTTCTCATCGGAAACCCAGGTTTCAACAAAGCTTCGGAGCTTTAACTTGGTCCCGTACACAGGCACCAAACTCGCTTGAATTTTTGACCCCCTAGTATATTATAAAGAGAAGGTTATGAACTCTGCCATTTATTTTTGACACCCCTTCGCTTCAGAAGCTATTTAATTTAACAAAACGGCAAAACTTCCACTTTTTCATGCTTGCAGTGGATAAAATAAACTCTCTTCTTATTTCATACCAATTTTCACCGCTGGATCCTACGTAGTTCTTGAGATGTACCCCCATGTCTGTTATTTCTAAGTAGGTCGTACATTTACTGGCAGGCCGATTTCTACTTTCGCTTCAAGAGTGAACATACTTATTGCACGATGCCATTACTATCATTAACATATATCAACAAGCAGAGTCGCAAAAGAATATCACTTACTCTATCTATGTGTTATTTAATCCATTATAAAGCCGCAAATGCAAATAAATTATTCTTTGTTCACTGGCTGTCTGTAACTTCCGGCCATTTTGTTTTTCCCGAATACCCAAATGAAAGATGCGCACTGATTGGACAATCGTTTGGCGGATTTTTTCGGAAGAACTCCATACTCATCGCTTATTTTCAACGTAAACACCAATGGATATTGAAGAAGCATGGCTGTCATTACTTGGTATTTATTTTTTTTAATTCGATAATGCTGTGAATTTTTTTATGTCAAGTTCGTTTGTTTATAGAAATTAGACAGAAATTGAATAATTTAGAGATTTTAGTCCAAATTAACAGTAATCAAAATTATCAAGTATAGTTTATACTTATAGTGGCGGACTTGGGGCGAGCGCATCTGGCGCCCCATGTAGATATGACAATACAATCCATGGTTCTATTTTGAAAGATATTTCTTATCTGATAAAGTAGTTTTATTTCTATATCCTTGCAATACAGATGTAGCTGAGCGCTACTTCAAGGACTCTATTTTTTTCCCAGTATAACACATATTTCATATGATTGTGTGTAACCATGCGCATGTTTGATGAAAACTATAAATTAATAAATAAATGAAATCTTAAGATAAATCAATAAATTTCTAACCTATACAAAAATCGCATCATACACACAGTTAGTGCTACATCTCTTCCTCATAGTTCTCTTTTCAACACCCCCCCCCCTTCCCCCAGAGAAGAAGACTCAACAATTTATACGTAAAGATATTTTCTTTATTATTCAGTATTCGAGTGTTTATGACTTGACAAGAATCTGCTTTCTGTGAGCCATTTTTTTATGTATGCACAAACATGAAAGAATATCTTTTCTGTACTGGTTTAAGATCACCATCATGAATTTCTCAGTCAAAACTTTGTATAAAGTTTCTATAGCATTTACTCTGTCAGTCATTTCATCTAATAGAACTTCAACACTCTGTGACTGTAAAAATTCAGCAGGAGGGGAAAAATTAACTGCATCAAGGAATAACTGATAAAGTTTCCCATCACTATGTATTTTTTCTTTGTATGCTTCATAAATATTGTTACCATGAATGTTTAAATTTTTCTCAATAAAAACACTTAAAAACAAGTCACATACAGACATGAAGAAAAGAAACATTTTGTCTGTTATATTTGTAAGACCTCTTGAAATGTTCTGTTTGACAGCTGTCTCTATAAGTGTCTGGGGAAGGGATGAAGTTCCACCAATTATAATTTCATTTTCTCTAAAGTTATCTAGGATCTGTATTATTGTGAATGCTTCATCATATTTTTTCTGATTTGACTCTCCTATCTTAAAACTTCTTTGACGAACTTTATTGTAGTGGTGGCGTGTCTTTGCCACACAGTAACCTCCAACATATCTCACTTTCCCTAAGCTTTCTTCAGTGAGACTTCTTTTTTTAAAACATTTATCCCTAATTTTGTACACTTTTTCCAGCTGACCAAGAGTAAACTTCCTAATATGAACAAAAATGTTATAAGCAATGTGTGCCATTACCTGTGGTGATACAGGATGAATTTGGCACACATCAAAAAACATCAGTAGGGTACATGCCTTAAATTCATCAGAAGTTTGAAACTGATGGCACTGTTTGAAAAAATGTGTGAGTTTGTCTGGTTTTACTGCTATAGGATTTTCCCTATCAATTTTTAATGACTCCACACACTCGGTCATAACATTGAAAGTATGACTGCAAAATTTTTTTACATCATAGTCAAAATTTCCGGTCAAAAGTGTATCAATTACACAATTTGTTTGTTTTTGTACTGTAGTCTCTACATCTTGCACATAAATATTTGTCAAAATTGTATGGATATCTAAGCCCTCGGGTAATGCAATCACTTCTGAATCATCAGTTTGAACACATTTAATATCATCTAGAATACTGTCAATGTCACCATGTGAGTCTTCAACATTCTCCCACATGTCATGTTCCTGTGCAATTGGTTCAAGATGATGAATTTCTTCAAATGCCCTTTCATTACACCTGATTCTGAAAATAAATAAAATATGAATTAAGTGTCTGCAAAATGAAATCATACAATGCATAATGACAGAATACTGACATTTATAAACATGCTTTGAGATTATCTGCAAAATGTTATATATTACACATTCAATCAAATGAATCCACAAAGTCAACCAAGTTCAATAAATATTTAGTAAATATATATCAGTGTACATGTGTACCTCTAATTACTTTATGATCTGATTTTAAAAAAAAGGTTAAGGGGGCAATTTTTTCCCCTCCATTTGTTGTTTTGACAGTTTCTAATTAAAATTTGCTACTGAGAAATTTGAAAATATTTTAGATCCAAAGATAATACATGTAATAAATTTCAACATATCATGAAAATAAATAAAAAAAAAAAGGTCATATCCTGAACAGAATGGAAATGAAATATACCATATACAAGACTTTGCTACCCCAGAAACATGAACATTTTATATTTCTTCTTTCAGGCTGCTTAACAGGCTAGCACAAGAAGATGGCAGTGAACTTGACTTAAACAACGTGTTCCATCAATTCCAATTTGAAAATTTTGAGGGAAGCCCAGAGAATCATGAAATAAATTTAGAGTGGTTTTCTAAGTACCTTAGAGCAGTTTTTCCTAATGTTGTTGTGAAACGAAAGACTATCAATAAGAAACAATTTCGAATCATAGAAAATATCAAACTTAAGTGTTTACCAGTTCTTAGCAGAGAGAAAATAGATTTTGATAAACTGGGCGAGTTAATTCCAAGATTTGTTGTCATGAAAAAGAGAGAGAAATCTGTCTTCACATGTTCTGTCATTTCAGGATGTAAAAGCAATGGAAATGATATCCATAAAAGTGTGAGTTTTAACCTTGATGGTACATGGCAATTGTCTGTGGGTGGGAAAAATGTTGATCTTTATCCTCTTTTGATTGATCCTACATACTGTTGTGAAAAAGACAACATTCTATCTATATTTCAAGCAATTCAGCTTCTGAAAGTATGTGAGGGAGTAACTGCAAAAGCATCACAATCTGTAATATGTACCCGGTTCCATACCACAGAAATGTTTCAAAATGAGTCTAATGAAAACAGGGGTAAGATTTTCAAACTGCGTTCAGTGTTATGTGACAAAATTGTGCCACTTTTGACAAGAAACAAGATCTGTGTACATTGTAGAAAAATGACATTTACAGAAAAGGGTAAAAATATAGATGTTCTACAAGAAGAAACTTGTGGCCCAGAAAAGGATACAAATATCATTGCTGAAAACTTTAAGAAGATTATTCCAAATGCACCAAATGAAATGATCATGCTTCTTGTTTGTCAAGCTAAGAATATGATGAGATATCCTAATGGATATAGATGGCCCAAGAAAATTATTGCAACCTGTTTACAGTTGTATGACAGAAGTCCTACCGGGTACGATTCTCTACGAAATAGCAAGATGTTAAAATTACCTTCTCCTTCATTACTCATTCTCTATAAAAGTTCAGTGAAACAGGAAATTGGATTTAGGGAAGAAATATTTCAGTGGATGAGAAATGAAGCTGGTCAATTACAAATATCAGCTGAGGGATATTTTGGGGGCATTATATTAGACAAGATATCAATTCAGGAGGACTTACAAATTCAAAAAACAACAAATGGGGTGGAACTAGTGGGATTTGTTGATAAAGGTGAGGAAGCAAACATTTGTTCTACACTGAGAGAGGGAGAAAAGAAACAAAAAATAGGGAAACATGTACTGCAGTTTGTCTTTCTTGGGCTGACAGGGTTTAGGTTCCCCTTTGCTCATTTTGTGACAGATGAAGTAAGGGCATATGACTTGCATGCACTGTTCTGGGAGGCAGTTGACAAACTACAAATGCATGGTTTTACTTGCTGCTTTACATCCATGGATGGCGCTTGCTGTAACAGAACATTTTTAAACATCAATGTTATTAGTCCTGGAAATATGATAGTACCAAGCCCATGCAATTTTGAGGAAAAAGTAATATTTACTATGGACTATTCACATGTCATGAAAAAGATAAGAAATAATATTCTCAAAAGCGGGGTAACCAAAGGCTGTACAAGAAATTTAACATTGACAGGAGGTGAAATGATTCAATGGCAGATGTTTCAAGACTGTTACCACTGGGATCAGAAGAATGCTCTAGAGATACACCGTGCACTTACAAATGAACATTTTTATCCTTCGACTTCCTCAAAAATGAGGAACCACCTAGCTGAAGATGTGCTGGACGACAGAATGCTCCACTTGTTCCAGATGTATCAATCATCTCTTAGAAATGGACAGTCGCTGAATGGTGTAATTCAGTTACTTCAGAAAACATCCAAACTGCTCCAGATTTTCCGAGATGTCCGGCCCATTCAGAATACAGATGATCCAAGATTGCATGAACTAGTGAGTGTGAAGGTCTGGTTTGAACAGTGGAAAAATGGAGCCAAATCATCTAAAGAGCTCTTTTCTAGAGAGTGTAATGAGGATATTGAATCATGCATAAATGGATTTATTCAACTGTGTATTTACCTACTAGGACGTAAGGATGTCAAGATATTTATATCACCAGCACTTGTGAATTCAGATGTAGTAGAGAACACATTTTGTCAACAACGTTCCACATATAATGGACCAAATTCAAATCCGAATGCCCTAGAATACAGAAGAAATTTGAACAGCATAGTTTTTGGTCAAAGAATTGTTTCAAAGAAAGCCAATGCAAGTGTTAGCAATGGTCATCATGTTCAGCCATATACGTTTAGCAAACCTGGTCCATTAAAAAGGAAATCATCAGAGAAAGAGCCATTATCTAGACCAAAATGTATTAGAATATAAAATTAATATAAAAACAGAAAAAAAGTTTACATAATTATAATGAAATTGGACTATCATGAAATAAAATATGATAGAACTAAAAGATTTAAAATGTCTAAAGGATGATCAAGAGTACCATTAACTTTGAATTGTATGATTTTAAGGCCACTGTAACCCTGTCATGACACAAAGACAACAATCATATATAATAATAAAAAAAATGATAATGACTGTGTTATTTAAATCACTCTGAATTAATGGAAACAAGTGACCCATGGACCTTTAGTTCTCTCAGTTCATTCAGTAATTTGGACAATGAAGTGAAAAGTTGTGTAAAGAGGTCATAGCATTCACATTAAAGAGTTAAAAAAGGAAATTGTGATCAGAAAAAAAGTTCTCTTCAGCTGTCAGCTCATGTAAGCTAAAATAAGAAGTCAATTTTGGTTTGATGTCAAGTTACAAAATAGGTAATGTAAAGTCAAATTCAACATCAACTTGTGTGTTGTAAATTATGAATTCATTGCCTTTTGGAGACATAAAAAATTTAATCCATTACTTTTAAAAGCTATTCAACTTACAATCCTAGAATATGTGAACAAGATTTTGAAATTTACTGTTGTATTGTTGAACACTGTCCCATGAAGAGTAATTCCAATTTTAATATGTAACAGTTGTTGATAAAAAATTGCATACAAACCTTGTGTTCTTACAACATTTAAGATCTGCATCTTGAGTCATTGAGGGTGTACATGTATCCAGGAACTTGAAAATGATGGACGGCAGAGGGATACAAGCAGTTTCATTAAAGTTGATCAGCCGCAGTCCTGTTGGGGACTTGACTCTACTCACCCCTACCCCAAGTTGTCCTGGGGAGAAAATTTGTTGGCAATCAATTTCCACACTACAAATATTTAAAGACACAATTAATGAGGATGATCGAGAGCTTATTTAAAATTTCCTTTTTACTACTGTTAAATTTGTTAAAAGCAAGATTATTTTCTTCAAACAATTAAACACATTATATAATACAGTTATTGACTAGATATGAGGGCAACATATGATTTCTGGGACCTGAAAGTAAAATTGTTAGAGTTGAAAAAAAAATTATTTTTAGAGGGGATGGGGGAGCTGCAAATGGTGTCTGATAGGAAAAATTCATTGATTTGCCCCCGTCCTCTTTTTTATCAACTCTTTTCACTTATAGATTTGTACCTACCTGTCAAGTGTCATACCCTGGGCTTTATGAATCGTTAAGGCAAATGCAAGTTTGACTGGAATTTGCTTCCTCTCAGCAAGATTTCTTCGCAACACAGGACTGAATACTGAAATAAAGTTCTGAAATAAAGGGGGTTAAAGTTTTAGGCCATTCCAAGTTTTTTCTATGTTTAGTGTCTGCAGACGAAATGTTTTTGAGGTTGTGAAATTAAAATCAAACACAAATTAAAATTGATAAATACAAATCTTTGAAAGGCAATTTACTCTTCCGGGATCAGAAACTCTCTTTTTTTAAGTGGTGTTCAAAAAAATATTTTGCTTCAATTAACTAGTAGTTAAACTTAGTTACAATGTTAGAAGAATTCTTAAAGAATGATGAGAAATTCTAGAATTGTGCTTAAATTGTTGTGTTTTTCCCTTATGGTTTGTGTGTTTTTTATGGATAGAAAGATAGGATTTCAAATTTAGGGTGGATGCTAAACAAAGAAAAAATTTGAATGGCCTTATGAGAAAGATACATGAGAATTCTTTAATATATCCTCTTCTGAAGAACAGTTGGACAATAGGATCATAATTGGTCATACAAGTATGGAAGCATGCTCAGGTAGTGCCAATTTAAATTTGTTAAAATTGCTATTAAAGTTTGTTCAAACCTTAGGCCCAGGAGTAAGACAGGGCCACAATATGGGGTCAATTAAGACTCTTTATAGGAATTATTCTGTTTATACATTATAAACAGCATAGCCTCACACAATTATTTTTCTTAAAAATATTCCAAGAACAGCATGGCCAGTGTGGCTCAGGTGTGCACTGTGGTCCATTGGCCTCTTTTGTTATATAATGCTTTGACTTTTGTATTCAAATACATGTTGAATTTGATAAGAATGACCCTATAAATCACTGCTGTATAACTGTCAGTACAGTTAATATCATTTACTGTAAATTTATACATACATTGTAATTTTTAGTAGTAATTTTGAGTACCTGAAAATCTTTCTTGTTAAATCTTGACAGTTTCATCAACAGAAGCAAAATGTACCAGTGGGCCATCTCTTTCACAGGACACCACAGTTCCCTGTAACCCATTTACAAGCTTTTTGGTCAGATTTTTCAATAGAATAACAGGGCAATCTTTCTTCAACCACAGAACTTGTGGTGCTGAGACTCGAGACAAACAAGAAATCTCTCCAGAATCCTCTGCTAAATACTCTGTATGAATCCCTGGCATTTCAAAAGGCACTTTCTGTTGTGTCTATTTACTAATTAATTTGTTGCATATAGCTTCACACTTGATGGAACATGAAGTGGTCTATCAAGACTCTGTAAAAAGGTCTTTGATTTCTGACTTAAAAAACCTCTAGCTATTTCATTGATGGTGCATACAAATTCAATATCATTCTGTCTCACAACATTTTTTAAAATGATACGATGTGGAAATACAGTATCAAAGAGTGGACTGAGGAAACAGAAATTCCCAGCGTCATTGTATATAGCATTTCTTACTGGGGGCAATTGCATGAAATCCCCACACAGTATTACCTGGATGCCTCCAAAATATTTTTGTTCGTCTCTCAATGAACATACTTCTTCAAGTTGTTCAAGTAGTTTTTGTGACAGCATAGATATTTCATCCACAATTAGAACATCTGTTGCACATATTCTGTTATATACATCCTTTTTGTGGTGTTTGACAATGCTTTTAATTTCACTAGTATCATGCCTAAAACAAAGGATTCAGATTTTAAGCAAGGTCATAAAGTATTAATGTGCTAGTTTTAGAATATCATTTATAATAAATAATCTATTTTAACTTTACCTGACAAGAATGTCAGCATACATGAAATTAAGTTGCTGCAGATTCGGGTAGTACAAGTATACTGAATATGTATGAATTAAAGAATCCCGGTGGAATGTGGACATAGCATATTATTATTATTTTCACATGACAGCGATTTTGAAAACAAGCATAGAAGATATGTGCTAATAATAATTGGTCATCATTTATATTGATGAATTTTTACCAAAATTTATATTCAGGTTTTCCAGCAGTGGACATTGTTCATTAGCATAATAAATTAGTGTGTTTGTTTATAGCTCTGACAAAAATGTAACAATGGGGTATTAATAAATACAGATAGATCTTGCTGAATGACAATGCTTCACCTCTTCAGCCCCCCCCCCCCCCAAAAAAAAAAACTTGCACCCTCCCTCCCATATATTGGGAACCGGGAACACCAAAGTTCATTTCAATTGAGAAAAAAATAAAACTGTGGCCATGGGCCTGATATAAATTACAAAATAAGACAATGATTGACGGACAATAAATATATACTTTGAAAAAATTACCTTCCATCATCTAATCCAGCCCAGCTGTGAATTGTGGCTGCATCAAATCTCGAAGGGAAGTTTGTACAAGCTATTCCTGTAGTGGAATCCGGGATGTTTCGCGCCAATTCTGTTTCGCACTGAGATGGTTCGCGCCTGGATGATTCGCGCCGATTTAGGTGCGAAACATCTCACGATTTATTTTAAATATTCCATGACATTTTTATCCATTTTAAAAAATTGTTTATCAATTATAAGATATACATATGTAGATGTTGTGTGTTCAAATGCATGACTTAATAATACATGTATGCACTGCCAAAGATTACGGATCGTGTTCATCAAATATTCCATGAGGATTTAATTGTAATTAGTTGTAGATCGAAAGGTGAGAATTTATTAATTGACGTGTTGGTAGTCAAACCAGCAATAATTACTTAATTAGATGGCGGTATTATAATTAGCATGGTGTTAAAATAATATATAATTATATGCTATGTATACTTCAAACACAGACATAAATAATTATGTCTCTGCTACAAATATAATCTTCTTGAATTAAAAAAAATGTTTCAAAAAATATCAAAATTTACACCATATAACATGTTTAAAATCTAAAATTTTGTTTAACCAACTTCAGAAGGCTAGCACATATTTGTACAACAATGTGGGGCGAACCATCTCAGCGCGAAACGGAATTGGTGCGAAACATCGCAGCGCGAACCATGCTCAGGTGCGAAACATCCCGTTACCCTGTAGTGCATGTTAGTGCAATACTTTTTTTGTTTTGAAGACTCTCAAATATTTGCGAAAGAAGTACTGACTTCCCAGTACCTGCTTGGCCTCCAATATACAAATTGTGGCCCTCAAGTGCGATTTTAAGCGCACGTTGCTGTCCATCAGTAAGGTGCATCTTTTCCACCATAGGTGTTTACGTTGAAAATGAGCGATGAGTATAGAGTTCTTCCGAAAAATCCGCCAAACGATTGTCCAATCAGTGCGCATCTTTCATTTGGGTATTCGGGAAAAACAAAATGGCCGGAAGTTACAGACAGCCAGTGAACAACGAATAATTTATTTGCATTTTCGGCTTTATGATGGATTAAATAACACATAGATAGAGTAAGTGATATTCTTTTGCGACTCTGCTTGTTGATATATGTTAATGATAGTAATGGCATCGTGCAATAAGTATGTTCACTCTTGAAGCAAAAGTAGAAATCGGCCTGCCAGTAAATGTACGACCTACTTAGAAATAACAGACATGGGGGTACATCTCAAGAACTACGTAGGATCCAGCGGTGAAAATTGGTATGAAATAAGAAGAGAGTTTATTTTATCCACTGCAAGCATGAAAAAGTGGAAGTTTTGCCGTTTTGTTAAATTAAATAGCTTCTGAAGCGAAGGGGTGTCAAAAATAAATGGCAGAGTTCATAACCTTCTCTTTATAATATACTAGGGGGTCAAAAATTCAAGCGAGTTTGGTGCCTGTGGTCCCGTAATATCTAGAGAAACTTACTGATGAAATTGTCGAAGAAATCAAAACAGAATATGCATTAAATTTCAGGATTGCTTTTCTTTGATGATTTGGAGCAAGGGATAGAAAGATGAGCCGAAAAGTGTAGATAACTGTGATACACATTTCCCCTACACTCTACTTACAATTCAGGTAGGGGTTTTCCTCCTGCGAGCAGCATTTTCAGCGCTAAAAAGTTTGAAAATATAGTGTCGAAGCACAATGACTGTAGACAGATTGTGTACTCTTGCTATGTTAGGCATTCTCAGAAATGATATTTGGTATTCTTTGTGCTGAGAAAAAGTATGTCAGGGAAGAAAGATATTGGTTTTTAAGAGGTAAGCACATGTTTATTGATTTAAGTTCAATTGTTCGTTTTTGCATCGTTAAAAAACCTTTTTATGTTTTAAACATCACAAATAAAGTGTTTTAGTGGAAAATTGGCGTCCGAAATCTTCTAAATTCCGGAGGACCTGGGGTCTTTGCTCTGACCTATTAGGACCTGCAAGGTGGCCCCCAGACCCTGCCTTGGGTTAAGTAGGACTGACCAAAGTTACAACAATATCTTATTACAGTATTCATGTATTAGCCTAAATTTAACACTGAGGCATGTTATGTTGCCAGTCTTTATAATCAACCCATTTAATCAACAATGAACCCGTCCATCTTCATGTTTTACTCAGCGTTGTTTCATTACATGTTGGTCAAGATTTCAGAATGCTTATCAGTATGAAAATTAAAAAAAATTAATTAGAATTTTTACATGTACAATTATGATCCTTTTTGCATATTTTCTACTAAATGTCAAATGAAAATGAAAGACTACACGGTGTTTACTTCCTTCAGTGGATGTTTGTACATGTATCTGATTGTCAGGTACACTTTTGATTAAGTGGCTTCCACATTTTTACTATATAACCCACAGGAAATCATTTAGCAGTTTTCTGCTTGATAAATTATAGGTGAACATAAGTTCAACGCTCAAAAAATGACATCAGAACCCTTCACATTTAAAACAAGCATCAACCTCCCACATGGTAACTTAACTGTGGGATGTAAATTTAATCTCGGTTAACTCTAAATAAAAGCATCAGTAAAACGAAGATTGAAAATAATTTTATCGTTAAATGTATACATGTAGTTAAATGGGACAATTACAAGCAATTGATGTGAGAAAATTATAAACACTATAAACTAATACATAAAAATAAAGTGTATAAAAGTTTGTGTGTATGTACAATGTATAAAAGCAAAATAAATCGAAAATGAAAATAGAAGAATATGGATTTCTATATCCTTTGGATTTTGTCGCGGATCTTTGGTGAGATGATTAAAGGATTGACTGAACAAAACAAAGTAAGCTGATGATGACTAGGGATGGACTAATTGATGCTCCAGCCAATTTAATCACGGAAATCCTGGAGTCAACATGCACTCTACCACCTATAAAGATGGAACAAATTTGGCTATAATCAAATATACCTTAAATCAAATTGTGTAAAAAGATATTGCATTAAATGTTATGGATGTTTTATTACACATCACCTTTATTTTCTTTAAATTAATTTTAAGTTTTTCAAGACGGAATTTACCTAAGGTGAAATACTGTGTAGGACTCATTTTACCGTCTCCTCCCTTGCTAAAACCAAGTACACGGAGGGCATAGACATATCCTTTAGCTATTCCATACACCACGCCATAGGTTTGTTTACCAACAACAGTATCATTAGCAGATTTGATATTCTCTCCAAGAAGCCACCATCGTATCTGAAAGTGAAATAAATCGTGTAAGTAAACCAAAAATATGAAGATTAACATTTACACTTTCCGTTTTACTGCTTTGAATTCGTTTATTATTTTTTAAAATTTAGTCAGTGGATACACTCCTCTTCTGAACATTCCTCAAAGTTTTTACGATTACAGACAATCCATTCCCCTTTATATACCTTGTAACCTCTAAGAGTTTCTTCGAACAGTCCTGTCGACACGCCTCTCCACTTTACATATACACTGTTAGGTCCATCTGAGAGGATGTCTACAAACTCTGGATACAGTAATGGCGCTGGAATTCAGAGTAACTCAGATGCATTCACAATTATTTCTATGAATCTGCATGAATTTTTGGGATATTCATGTATAATTGTATATGTATGATATAGCATTCTGATGTAAAGAAAAAAAAACAACAACAAAAACAACAACAACAAAAAACAAACAAACTTTAATTTTATTCATAGTCTTAACAACATTTAATAATGTACTTTGATCATACTTTTCAGGCCTGAATATGAATATATAAAATAGATATTGCTACCAAAATTATAGAATATCCTTACGATTTAAGCAGGTGCCTAGAAGCTGTTTTTCGCTAGGATTACTTTCTCCTGCCGTGTTAAACACCTGCACAGTCACCCAGTAGTCTGTATTCGGTTCCAGTCCAATGACATTATTTCCTGACATATAACCGTAATGATAAGCTGTCACACCCTTACGGTTAGGGTCATTGGCATCTTCTACATTAATCTGAAATACATTTGTTTTGTAAAATTTTCAAATTAAAGAAGATTGTCGTGAATTTATCAAATCGCAAATCCTTAAGATGTTAAAAATGAAATTATATGATACAATACTTGTTATTTTATTAAATAAGAGATGCAGGACAATTCTTATTTCGTGAACCTCAAAGCCTTGAATAACCCCTTTGATAGCCTCTCTAGTATTTGGCATCGGATCCCAGGTTACCCATAATGCAGTGGCGTTGATCTCCCAGCCGTTGACGTTTGTTGGACGGAGTAAAGGGACTGTAAAATTGATAAAGTAACATCAGTGTTTTGTAGCTTTCAGGAAGAGATATTTCAAATGAATGAAAATATATCCATAAGATGTATAAAAAAAAAAAGAAGGAAGTAAAAGAAGAAAGAAAGTGCCGGTTGGACGTGCTAAAATGTCCACTGTTATATATTTTTATCATATAATTGAAGTCGATCTTAAGGAGTCAACTAGATCTCTAACTTCAAGTTATCTCTGTAAACCACATACAAACACTTCCATTCTACATTGAGGAGACAGTGGAAAAATACGCCATATACAATTTATTACATGAAGTTTTCAAAATTTAAGGTTCTTCATATCATTAAAAGCAGAAAAAAGGAAAAGAATCTCCCAATATCTTGTATCCAATCAAAATAAACCAACATTCATTTGATATCGATCTATTTTTATGTGAAAAACATAAGTCCTTAAAAAGGATAGAATGAACAAAACCGATATTCCAATAGTATTGGTCATTATGCAGCGATACTCTAAAATTGAATTTACAAATTACGTAAACATTGCACAAGGTACTCAAATACAATATCCCGTAACGACAATGTCAAATACAATAATACACTATATCGTTGTCAGTTTGTGGATATGAAGAACGTACTTCCCTCCGAAGAATAGACGACGGTTGTCGTGCTGTTTGGTCCATCTCCATAAAGGTTGAACACACCCACTTTCACTTCATAGGGAAGATAAAATAATTTTTCATCGTTGAGGTTTACTGTGTATGATATACTTTTACCCGAGACCATTTTCTTAAACATATAATCCGTCTCAACCAACTTTTTCTGAAATAAAGATTCCAAATAATTTTCTTGTACATGTAAGAAGATTAATTTATAAAGTAAATTCATATGCAATTCTTATATTGTCTAAACACAATAACTAACCATTTGAAATCTGTCTGTGGTTCCATTTTTTCTCCAGTATATTTTGTAACCGACATTAGGACCACATCTCTCTTCTTCTGATAATAACTGCAAATAAAGGCTATATGATCAATCAGAATCCAACTCTATAATGTAACGAAGTGTACATGTACATTGATATTATCAATTCCGCTCTCTCCAACAATGTGTTTGAATCGACTGACGCTAATCTAAACCCGATTTCTTGTAGTTGTGTTAAAATTGAAAAAAAAAAAACAAGATACCGTTGCTGGCGCTCTCCAGCAACTACATTAGCCTTGTTTTACAGGAATGCGCATGCTCGAATTTACAGAAGGGTATTCTAGCGAAACATATCAGTTTCGTATTATCGTCTGAAAACACATGATCTCAGTTTCTACGTACCCTGTAATAAAAGAAACTAAATCCTTATTATGCCAGAACTACAGCTTCTCAGAAATCAGTTATTTTCTAAAATTGTAAATAAAATTCCTCTCTTTTCTTTACTACCGCACTGGAATATAGTCTTATTGATTCCATATTGAAAGTACGCACAATGCCATTGTCGACGTGAAGCTTACTGTAGTATGCTGAATTGGAACACCCCCACCCCACAACCCGCTCAGTACAACACTGTTTACATATCAATATCGTTTCAGCAAAATAAACCATGGCCAATAGTTAACAAACCAACTTCTGTGCATAATAATTGCTACAAAGCTAGCTTACGTATCATTAAACAAGCTAAGTTTGTTATTATTCATATTCCTCATATATCCATAATGATAAATATGTTTACTCTTGAAACCTTTTACGAAAGAGGTTTCAAGAAATCCTATATTTCATTTCTCCAAATAGTTTATGAATGCCGTATCGCATAACTTTATTTTTGTAAGCTATGCTATCAAACGCCCTTTTCCCTTTTTTTCAAAGTTTGTTTGTTATGTTTGTTGTTTAACATCCCTCTCGAGAATTTTTCACTCATATGGAGACGCCACCACTTGCCGAAGGTGGGCTGTAAATCTAGACCTACTTATATACTCGGCACTAAGGGCCATTGAGCAGTGAGGGATCTTTTTTGTGCCAGCACCTACTGCGACACGGGACCTTGGTTTATACGGTCTCATCCGAAGGACCGGTCTCCACTTCCCTCATTGGGATTCAAACCCGCTACGTAAGGATCAACTCCAACACCGCGACTCTAGAGCAAACGCTCTAACCACTGTGTGAAGCGAGCGACCTTTATTTAAAGTTAACACAAAACCATATCACAGATATCGTCACACCTGCCATGAAATCATTAGAACCCCCACACTTCCACTTCCTCCTCCTACGTTTTGTACAGCGGTTACTGGTTTGTCCGGCTTCAGTTGAATGTACTCTGGAAAAAAATAAGGTTATATTACTAAGAAACTAATAAGATATTACTTTCATCGTATCAGCTTGTACATTGTTTTTATGTGAGCAGTGGTCAGTGCACTAGTTTGCACCGAGTTTGTTAAGACATCATCAATTTGAACCAACTGTGTGAAGACAAAAATGGAGATCTGCTCAAAGCATCAATTTGTTCCAAAAGGATAAAGATATATGCCAGAAGATTGAATGATACTTGAAGTCATTAGTGTGAGCAAATTTAATCAAAGTATCAGTTTATGTTGACTGGATAATTGATTGATTGTATGTTGTTTTATGTCTCATTCGAGGATTTTTCATTCATATAGAGAGGTCACCATATACCGGTGAAGGGCTTCAAATTTAGACCTATATTATGAGGGTTCTTTATCGTGCCAACGCCTACCGTGACACGGGACCTCGGTTTTTAAGGTCTCATCCGAAAGACCCATGACTTTCATTTCTAGTGCCGGGCGCTTGGCGAAGGAACAGTCACTACCTATGTTTACGTCTTAGGTTTGACGCGACGAAGCGAGAATCGAATCCGGGCCTGCCGATCAAGAAGCGAGCGCCCTATCACTATGCTACCCTGACCGGTTGTTCACTGGATGAAATATATGGAGATAACGAGCAGTATTCAAGCTCAAAAGTCCATCAACAATACAATTTTGGAGCAAAGCAAACACGGACCTCTAAAACATCAAAGGTGGGATCAGGTGCCATGGAGGAGTGAGCATCCCCTGCCGACCGGTCACACCCGCCGTCTTCCCCTTGTCATGATCGGGAAATAACGGAAAAATCCATCGACAATTCAGTGTGTAAATAATGGCCTAACAATTAGTATGAAAAACGTCAGTCAGCATTTGACTTAATGATAAATTGTATTTGCTGACAAGGTCATTGTACCGACCATAGAACTTACGGAATGACGACTTTAAATGAGACGAAGACAATAGTTTGAGCAAATTGGATCAAAGCATCAGTTTGTTTTGAAAGGATAAAAATATTAGTGATAGCAGATTGGATCAAAGCATTAGTTTGTGCCGACTGAATGAAGACAGTAAATCAAGCAGATTGGATTAAGGCATCAGTTTGTGTCCACGGTATAAAGACTTAAGTGTTAAAGATGAGATTAAATATCAGTTTGTTTCTACTGATTGAAGACATTATTGTGAGTACCTTTGAACAAAACATTTGTATACAAGTGTCGACTTGATAAAACTATACGTTTGAGCAGATTGGATCAAAACGTCAGTTTGTTCTGAGTCGTTGAAGATTCAATCAAAGCATCAGTTTGCTTCAACTGGATGAAAACATTACTTAGTGTGATCAGATTGGATCAAAGCATTTGTTTCTTTCGACTTGATGAAGACATGAGTGAGCAGTTTGAATCAAAGTATCAGTTTCTTCCCACTGGATGAAGATAGAAATGAGGCAAGCATCAACTTTTCCTACTAAATAAGAACATAAAAATTTAAATATTGGATCAAAGGAACAGTCACCGTCACGGTAGCTCATTCGGTAGAGCGCTCGCTCCGTGATCCGAAGGTCGTGGCCGCGACTGACCTAAGTCGATAAAAAAGAATAGGTAGCAACTGTTCGTTCGCCAAGCAATCGGCACTTTGAAGTGAAAGTTGCGGGTCCTTCAGATGAGACCTTAAAAACCGAGGCCCGGTGTCACGGCAGGCGTTGGCACGATAAAAATCCCTCACTGCTCAATGGCCCTGAGTGCCGAGTAAAGGTCTAAATTTGAAGCCCTTCACCGGTATATGGTGACGTCTCTATATGAATGAAAAATCCTCGAATGAGACATAAACAACATACAATCAATCAATCAAAGGAAGAGTTTGTTTGGTCTGGATGAAGACAATAGTGGAAGCAGACTTGGTCAAAGCATCCGTTGGTTGCGCAAGAATGAATTCCACAGTTTAAGCAGATTGAATCAAAACATCAGTTTGTTCCAACTCATTGAAAACATTGGTGTGAGCGGATTTGATCAAAGCATCAGTTTGATCCGACTTGATGAAGACTTTAGTTTGTGCAGATTGAATTAACGCATTAATATGATAAGACTGGATAAAAACAAAAGTATGAGCAGTTAAGAAGATAACATGAGTTTGTGTCAACTAGAAAATTAAAGAAATGTGGAAAGATTAGACTAGAGATTGTTCATTCAAAATAAAAACATAAATATATCAAAGTATCAGTCTGTGTCGACTAACTGAAGACTTGACTGTGGGAAGCTATTGGATAAAAACCTCAGTTTGTTCCAACTGGTTGAAGACATTAATGTGAACAGATTTTAACAAAGCATCAGTTTATGGGACAAAGTGAAGACATTGATGAGAGAAGGTGGATCAGATCATCAATTTGTGCTGACTGGATGAAGACATAAATGTAGAAAGATTGGATCAATGCGTCAGTTTCTTCCATCTTGATGAAGACCCATGTGTGATCCGATGAAATGAAAGCATTTGTTTGTGTCAACTGGATGAAATGAGAAAATAAGTGTTGATACATTGTATCAAAGCTTCGGTTTATTCCGAATAGATGAATACATCGGAACAAAGCATTCTTTGTTCATATATTGTATCAAAGCTTCGGTTTATTCCGAATAGATGAATACACTGGATCAAAGCATTCGTTTGTTCTGTATGGATGATTAACAGCTTAAGCATGCGGTGTGATATTCAAGTTACATCCTGTGCAGAAGTTCGACTTATCAAACTGTCTAATTTTTATCTTTGGCCTGACAACCGACTAAACTTATATCCACTCCACAGTTTATTCAGTAACGATTGAGGTGAATGGTCAATACCTCAGTAATAACTGTTTAAAAATTATGACGTAATGTAGATTCAAGATAATACTAGTATTTTATATCTATAGGCAATTTCGCAATTAATATGTGTTTTGGAAATTCTAAAGCCTGTTTTACAAATATCTATTACAGTTTTAGTAGCCTATGCCTTTAACAATTACTAAAGCCTACATTCAAGGTTACATATAAAACATACCAGATGGTTTGCTGTATTCTCCAGGCTGTGGAAATCTATTTCGAGCATAAACCCTAAACTGGTAACTGTTAAACGGTATCAGTCCCGTCACGGTGTACTGTCTTTTGTCTGAGTCAATGTTTCCAGGAATCAGAACATCAAAGTCAGATAAATCTGTAACAAATGAACGATATTTTTAATAAAATTTTAGATACAAGGATGATTATTATTTCCCTCCTTCAATTTGATCTGTTCACTAAAGAGTAACTTACTCATTGCAATGGGTCGCCATTTTGGATTTGTCATCGTGTGTGCCTCAATATTATATTCCTGTACTGGAGACCCATGATTTGGTGGAACTGTCCATTTAATGGTTACTGTTCGAGTCGTTTCAGATCCCTTAATGCGGTATACATTCCCTGGCATTCCTGGTGGGCCTTAAACAAACATACATACCGACAATAAGGCTTTCATCTTGAAGCTTTTCACGAAAAGAGCGCCAATGAATTTTAGATTTGATTTCTAATTATTATTTGGTAATTACCATACTAGAATAACATCATTGAGAATACACAGACAATACCTTGTACATTGACTGTTGTAGATATGGAGGACTGGGTTATGGTTGACATGGCAACACATTCGTACACACCACTGTGGTGGTAGTCTATAAAGTGGACGAGAAGACCTTTGATTCCAGTCCTAGAACTCTGAAATTACGATAAAACTCATACCTAGGTATTTAGCATTTTAAGTAAAGTCGATGCAGGTGTTCGATTATACATAAACAAAATAACCATTTGAACAATTTTAGAATTGTATCTTGATATTCATCGAGAAAGTTATCTGACATAAAGGAACTCGATGCATCTAGTTAGATATGATAATTTAGGTCGACTTTGTTGCTTTAGTGTTTATTATCTGTCATAGGTGGTGAAAAACCAAGTCTCAACCGGGACTCAAACCCAGGACCTCTGGCGTACCTTGCTAGCGCTCTAACCACTGATCTTTTTGAGACCCAACATATTGACTGACCTTTCACACACCTGTGAACCCGGTGACATACCTTTTCGTACATTGAATCCTGCGAAAAGTCAATCACTCTTCCATTGAACTTCCACACGAATACTAAGTCAATTCGGGTGGCGTCGTACGTAGCCTGACACTCTATGAATACAGTGTCATTTCGATTGGCCAGGATAACGTTAGGAAGCTGTGTTACGATCGTGATCCCACCTAAAGATTAAATATTGAAATATCCAGATAGGAACTGAATTCCTTTAAAACCCTGTAAAAAGATTTTACTGCAATTAACGTTTAAACGATGTGGATAGCTAAGATGATTATTATTTATTATTCCTAACACCGCAAACTTTCGTCTTCAGATTGAATTATTATACTTAAGTTGCATGTTAACATTTGCAAGTATCTGTGTTTCCTGTGTTTCGTGTGACAGTTTATTGCCCCGTAGCATACATATAAAGATGGGTGGGTTTATTGGAATTTAACTGGAGGTTCTTAATTTGAACATTCATTCAGATATTTCCGGATATCTGGTTCGATTTTTAGAACTCACCAACAACAGTTACTTGTCCAGTACTCTTGCTTTCTCCATTCTTGTTAGTAGCCACACAAGTATAGAAACCTCCATCTCCAAAGCTAACCCCAACGATTTTTAGATAGCCGTTTGTAAGCTGTTGTGCGCCTTTCTGATTACCATCTGTTACAGGAAGGCTCATTTTCCCGCCATTCTTTAACCACGTGATAGATGGCACTGGTGCTGCTTCAGGTATGCATGGAATGGTAAGATTCCCGTTACTTGCCGCCAAAATTGATTGTCGAAGAGGATTTTTAGCAAAAGATGGTTTTAAAGCTGCAGAAATAAGATTGCAATCTTAATTTTTCAGTCGATACTTTAATAATAAAAGATATACATGTAGTTATTTGTCTGTAGTTTAAAGGTAAAGAAGTTTGCCAATTTACACAAATAAACAGACATGGTAATGTCTTTTCTTTCATTTATTTAGTAAAGAATTTCGTTGCTGAGAAATGATGAAAATTCGTCAATGAAAGAGATGCCAAAAAAACCCCATCCTAATTATTGTCTCAAATCACGGATAAATGTCCATTTTACTTCTCAAACTTTAAGAAGGTAAAATTCCTGAATGTTTTCGACAAGTATATTCCCCCAAATTTCTGAGAAAATATTAATATTAATCAATTAATATTGTATTTTAGATCAAGCTATTTATTCTATATTTCAGAAATGAATATATACATGTAATGTATGCAGGAACTCAAAAACAACATTTATCTATCCTACAGTTTATAAAACATACATATAATTCTTACATAGCACAATACTCTAGCATTCTAGATTCGTACATAATAATAAATAATATAACAGCAAATTCCAGCAAGTACATACATAGAACTTTAAGTTGTGCACTAGTCATTGCTGTTCCGTAGATGTTTCTGGCTTCACAACTATACATCCCATCGTGGACGTTTTTCTGGAGATTCCTGATCCTTAAAACGTTTGAGGTGATCTCTATTCCATTGGTTCCCGTAGCAATAAGTCGAGAATTCTTGAACCATGAGTAAGAAGCTCGTGGACTGGCAATACCCCCACAACGCCAAGTGACGTCACTATTTTCATCAACAATGAGGTCTTTCAGAGGATATGTAAAATAAGGTTTCGCTGCAAATCAAAAAAATATGTCCTGGTTTAATTCTGATACAGTTTACTAAATTATATTAACTAAATTATATTAACATAAAAGGGTTATGAACTCAGAATTTAGAATGATATTAGTATATCTCCTGCACACCTAAATGCAGTCATTTTCACCAGGTTGATCCCAGACATTATTTTCAAATCATGAAAATATAATTTGTAAATTGGGACATCTCCTTTGTTAATTAAAATTGATTATACTTCATGTATAGGATACTTAAAGGTATGTCATACTAACCACCAATAGTGAGCAAGAAATCTTTGGATGCAACCTGTGTCCGACCGGTAACGTGGCACGTATAAGTTCCTTCATCCCTAAATCGCACATTTGGGATCACGAGTACACGGCCAAAGTTACGAACGTATGCTTTTGATGGTATCCCAACATCACCATATTTCGTCCAGCCATATTTTAGAGGTATTCTAAATATCAAAACGTTAAGTGACATCTATATGGTGATTTTGCGATGAAGCAGCTTTGTATTTAATTATACCTCAGACATGTGAAGTTAGATTTTCCTTCAGTGTGCATTTTTGGTAGTATAATTTTGATTCTGAATCTCTTTAAAATACACCGGCTTATACCTTCCATATGCTAGACACTCTATGGTGATTGTTTGTCCTAGCTTTGGGGATTTTGGAAACACAGCCGGGAATTCGTCGTGAATTTGAGGAGGATACAATGCCGCCGCTGGATAAACGATAAAAAATGGATAAAAATATCTGAAACTCTAACATATTGAACTTTGAATAATAGAATTCAACGTGATATACATTGCCATATACCAGTATACATCAAATATGTACGGATGAAGCACCGAAATCATAAAATATCTATCTTTCTAAAGTGTGATGAATTTCCCATGAAATGTTTCTTGGGCATCAAAAGTCCCTTGGAACATTGTAATACAGTGTTCAAAGTTACACTCAGTCATTATTATTATATATTGTTACCATACATATATCAGTATTAAAAATAATGTTAATCATCTTTCAAAAAATGAAATTCTAAGAAATTCTTTACTATCTCCGAGTACGTCTAGTCTAATGTTGAGGCTCGTTTCAGTCGGTGGTTGACTTGTTGCTAGGGTGTCGCCAGGTGACGCCTTTAACGTCACAATGCAGTGATAGTTCCCTTCATCATTTTGTTGAACTTCCGAAAAATACAGATTACCGTCCGCAGACAAGAAAAAATAGCTGTTTAATGACTGGATCAGAAAACTTCTCCCTTTCATCCACTGATAGGATATAGCTAACAAATATAAAATTTAAAAGTCAACAATGATCAACAATGATCAACATTGCGAAAGAAAAGTACACTATTTTACAACAGATCTGGAGTTTTTTTTTAATGGGGTCAATCTTAGAATCATTAAGTGGAGTGTTTGTCCATTAAATGAAAATTTACATGGGGTATAACTATCTTTTATACAGACCTGGTTTGTGGGTGGGTGGATTACAATTCAGATAAGTCCCCTGATATAATGCCACCCGTGTAACACCTTGTGGTACATTTGGAAACTGGGCTATACCTGTAAAAACAAGATGTGTTTGTGAAACACTGATGCCTCCGTATGACAACTTATAGCAAGGTTTAACTTTCTCAAATGCAAATCAAATATGTTGGTACCCAAAGTAAGGTCTTGTTTCGAGGAATATACCTGTGAAATATGAAAGCCTTAGCAGCAACCATTGAATAGATATGGAAAAGGTTAAAGTTTTTTTCAAAAGTAAGTCAAACATCAAGGTCAAGGTTAAATGGTCAAAATTAAATGTGCCCAAGGAAAGGCCTTCTCACAAGAAATACACGTGTGAAATATGAAAGCCGTAGCACCAATCGTTCAAAAGTTGTAGCCAAGGTTAAAGTTTTTCAAAAGTAAGTCAAACTCTAATTAAGGTCAAGGTCAATGGATTACAATTGTTGCTATCCAAAGAGGTCTTTTCACAAGGAACAGACATTTAATATTTAAATATTTAACCCCTAGCACCAACTGTTCAAAAGTTATGGTCATGATTAAAGTTTTTCAAAAGTAGGTCAAACTCCAAGGTCAAAGCATCAAAGTTGTTGGTATCAGAAGGAAGGTCTTGTCACAAGGATTACATATGTGAGGTATGAAAGAGCTAACACCAACCGTCCAAAAGTTATGGCCAATTTAAAGTTTTGCAAAAGTAGGTCAAACTCCAAGGTAAAGGTCAAAGGGTCTAAGTTGTTGGTATCCAAAGATAGGTCTTGTAAAAGGATTACATATGTGAAGTATGAAAGCCCTAGCAATAACCGTTCAAGTTATGGCCAATGTTAAAGTTTTTCAAAAGTAGGTCAAACTCCTAGGTCATGGTCAAAGGGACAAAATTGTTGGTATTAAAAGGAAGGTCTTGTCACAAGGATAATATTACATATGTGAAATATGAAACCACTAGCACCAACCGTTCAAAAAGTATGGCCAAGGTTAAAGTTTTTCAAAAGTAGGTCAAACTCCTTGGTCAAGGTCAATTGGTCAAAGTGGTATCCAAAGGAAGGTCTTATCACAAGGATTACACATTTGAAGTATGAGAGCTCTAGCACCAATTGTTCAAAAGTTATGGCCAAACGCATCAAAGTTGTTGGTATCCAAAGTATGGTCTTGTCACAAGGATTACATATGTGAAGTATGAAAGCCCTAGCACTAACCGTTCAAATGTTATGGTCATGATTAATGTTTTTTCAAAGGTAGGTCAAACTCTAAGGTCAAAGCATCAAAGTTGTTGGTATCAGAAGGAAGGTCTTGTCACAAGGATTACATATGTGAAGTATGAAAGAGCTAACACCAACCGTTCAAAAGTTATGGCCAAGTTAAAGTTTTGCAAAAGTAGGTCAAACTCCAAGGTAAAGGTCAAGGGGTCAAAGTTGTTGGTATCCAAAGGAAGGCCTTGTCACAAGAATTACATATGTAAAGTATGAAAGCCCTAGCACTAACCGTTCACAAGTTATTGCCAAGGATAAAGTTTTTCAAAAGTAGGTCAAACGTCAAGGTCAAAGGGTCAAAGTTGTTGGTATCTGAATAAAGGTCTTGTCACAAGGATTACACATGTGAAGTATGAAAGCCCTAGCACCAACTGTTCAAAAGTTATGGCCAAGGTTAATGTTTTTTCAAAAGTAGGTCAAACTCCAAGGTCAAAGGGTCAAAGTTGTTGGTATCCAAAGGAAGTTTTTGTCACAAGGTATACACATGTGAAGTTTGAAAGTCCTAGCACCAACTATTCAAAAATTATGGCCAAGGTTAAAGTCTGAAAAAATTTAGCAAAAGTGGGTCAAACTCCAAGGTCAAGGTCAAATTTTTATGGTACTCAAAGAAAGGTCTTGTCATAATGAATACACATGTGCAATATGAAAGCCATAGCTTCAATCAATCAAAAGTTATGGGCAAGGTTAAAGTTTTTGCGGAAAACAGACAGACAGATAGACGGACGGACAGGGCAAAAAATATATGCCCCGGAATCTTCGATTACGGTGGCATAATAATGTTTATAAAATTAGTTTGAAAATATGATAAGAACAAACAACATGAACGAAATGAAATCTATGGAAAGAATCTAATTAACTTCACTGCTAACTATAAGAGTTATCTCCCCTTGCAAAATGTTTTGACTTCAGAAGGACAAACAATTTTCAAATTCCGACCGCCATTTTTATTTTTCACGTAATCATTTCTTGCTATATCGACAAATGTACTTTTTTTTTTTTTTTTTTTTTTTGCTTCTCATTTTTCATGACAGGGACAAAAGATGGTACCGAGGTCCATGTCATTCATAAAATGGTTGTCTGACAAAAAAGAAAGAAAACGCTATAGCAAACTGCGAAAGAACTAAAGAAGAAGATTTTCTACAACTACACAAAAATTCAGAGGCCTTTGCGATGAGGCCCTGCAAAGGGTAGAAGGCAAACTAAAGAAGGAGGACACCTAATACCAAAAGTTTCTCCTTACTCTTCTCAAGCTGTTCATCACTTTAGGATACATGATCCGATGATGACAATTATCCAAGGCCGTGGTTTCAAACACCATCTTCCTTCTTATTCGTGAAGTCTGCGATATCATCAAAGTCGAGTAATCCAGTCCTACATAACTGAAGTATGGATTGTAATAAATGAGCAGTTTGATAAAAGATAACAATTTCCGTACTGCTGTGTTGCTGTGGATAGCAATTATATGTTGGTCACATGTCCTTTGAATATTCACTCTGTAACTACTAGAAACTACGTCGGTTTCTTCTCCATTTTCATCATGCCGGGCCGACTCAGACAACAAGTTTCTCTGATTTGATGTCGGCTCGAATAGTTCTATCAACGATGCTAGGATATAGAATGGTTCAGATCTGAAAGAAGGAATGGAGAGGTGTAGGGGGCAATGTTTTTGGGATCAACAAGATTCCGATAAACCCGTTTTCAATCAGAAATACGGGAGTGCCATGAGAGAATATTTAACAACACATTCTCCAAAGCCAGGTGTGTAGTGTAGAATGCCTTTGGTATTCTCTACATAAATTCCGAGATTTACGGAGGACCATGAACCAGAGGCCAAATATGAAGAAAAATCAACACGACTTGTGTTATCCTTCAAAATCACATCAAACTGAAATATCCAGCCACCCATAACAATCAGGACTTAAAGGGCCAGAACCAAAATGTCATTTCAGTGGCATGGAGAATTGACAAAGGATTTCTGGATGTTTAGCATGAAAGGGAAAGGAATACTGGAATCTACGAGTGTGCGCAAATTAGGAAATACATGTACCTAGGCACTGTTTTACCTCATGTGCTGGTTCGGTGTCAGGGCAAGACAAGGTGAAATGTTAATTTTCCCACAAATTAATGAGGGTAAATTAAAACAAATACAGGAACAATAACACAGTGATGATGAATAAATTATTTCTATATATTGCAATGTAATAAAATCAAAATGTGTATGGATTTAATAAATACTTGTTTTTTTCTTTTTAATTTCAAAAGAAAATTATAAACTTTAAAAGTTTTCAAAATGTTATTACCATACTACTTAAATAATAACTTACATAGGGAAGGACCAAAAATGAACGAAGTCTGTTAATATACATGCGGTCGGCTGAATGTTTTACACCATCGGAAGGTCTCGTGTTGCCTTTCTTGCCTAGTTCGAACACATTGGGCTCTAAATACGACATCTTGTTTTCATTTTAAGGCCTTCGTGTGTAATGCTGGCAAACTGCTTGATAAAAATTCAGATTTTCGTATTGTCTTCGTTTGTGCCTTGACCTTCTGTATCCATGGTACTTGTTGGCTAGGATGTTGACCAAATTCGGCGTCAATGTCGCGTCAAATTCAATTTTTTTTTTTGTTTTATCTGATAAAACAGTTTGCTCAAGTGACAATTTGCAGAAGACTTTCAAGCATTTAAAATTATCACGTAAGCAAACTATTTGGTCATCATCATAAAAAATTTAATATTTTTTTTTAAAAGCCCAGGGGGTTATTCCTTATAATTATTTACTTTTTTACCGGATCCTTGATTTTAAAGTTTTACGAAGATATCAAGCTTTTTATCCCGAATAATGTAAATATTTTAAGCTAAAGTTTATTTGATTCTATGTCTTGTATTTATAAGTAAGCTGTATGTATATACTTTTCTTAAGTAAGGATTCAGATATAGAAATACGTAATAAGAAAATCCATCGTGTTGTTCTGCGTGAGAGAGGTGTATTTTCTTACGATTAATTGATTACTTGATTTATTTATCTGATAAATTTTCTTGCTTATTCTAGTTACATTGTTTTTTTCTCGATTGCACAAAATCTAAGTGATTTCCATTACAAAGTACAATGATTTTCATGGAGTACATTAGTACCGAGTCCCAGTATGGGCAAAGAACGAACAAAGCAACCGTTTCGCTTCATTTTTCATACCTAGTGATAGCTAAATCCAAACGTCTGGTGCGTTCTTTTTTCGTCCCCCGAGTAATGATTTGGGTAAAATTAAGTTTACTTTATTTTATCTTGCCTCATCATAATATTCTTCTCAAAGAATCAGAGCCCAACTAAAATTTACAGCATCTTTTAAATTGATTTTTCCAGGAAAAGATCAATGATAGGAACAAAGCAAAGAAGATTACTATGGTTAATTAAATATTGACGTTGTGTGGCTGTTCATTTATTTAGACTTAAAACACGGTAAAGTTTCAATACACTGTCACATTTTTTGGCCCTAATTACATCCTTATCTTCACGATTAAAAAAATATTCCAAATACTGATGTTCATCTGATCGGCTGATAAACTAGTAATGAGATTTTGAGTATCAGCTATAAAAAAAAGGGTTCCAGAAAGAGACATACAGTGTTGCAGACAAATGCAAGACAAGCATTGCTTGCAATAATGTCCTCTGTAGGAAATATTTCCGACACTAGTAAACCATATTATATGTCTCACTCACTGTTTGTTATTCATGTGGCCTGTTCCACCATCATATTAGTAACTGGAGTGTTTGTGAATGCTATAAGTATTGGTGTCATCCTTCATCTGAAGCTGTTCCGTGAGATATCTGTTCTCTTTACCCTCCATCTGATGACTGTCAATTTTGTAGCCAGCATCGTATCTATGTCCACTGCTCTTGTGAACTCATTTCATCCAACTGGAAAAGCGGATATGTTCTGTAGGCTTACTGGATACGTTATATTCGTTTTGATTGGGGTTCAGATGTGCAATATTACATTAATATCCATAAGTGCTTACGTAAAAGTTGCTCACTCTTCTTTTGGAAAAGCGTTTTTCTCTAAAACTTGTAATGTTGCTTTGTGTCTGGTTTTTATTTGGATGTTACCCCTTCTCAAATTGCTGTTACCTTTGACAGAACTTTGGGGCGAATTCACAATCACCCTTCAGTCTCCTTGGTGTTTACCTATCAGAGGTGGATATGGAGTGTTTCTGGTGTGTTTCGCTCTAGTCGTGACAATATCAGCTCTGATGTTTTCCTATGTTGGAATTGTACGAACTGTTTTACAAAGTAGAAGAAAAGTCGGAGCCGCAAACCAACTTACTCAGCAAAAAAGACAGAAACTAAGAAGGGAACAGTATTTCGTTATTGCTGTCATCATCATGGTGACGTCATTTATAATTCTTTACCTCCCATCAAGCTTACTTCCGGTTATTGATTCAGACATAAGTCTTGGTGTAGACATTCATGTGAGTTTTACTTACGTGACATGGTCACAAAACGTAGTCGAAACATTGATTTATTCTATTTTACATTCTAAAATCAGGAGCGGAATTAAGACATGCTTCTTTGATAGAAAAACTAATCGCGATTCATAGGAAGAAACCTATTATCAACATTTGTGAAAATTCAGACAACCTTTTAAAACTTTGAATTGTAATATTTTTTTTACAAAAATTACATGTATTAGACAAATATGTTGACTTATAAAACACCTTTAGAAGAATTGTTTCCCCATCATGTTTCACAAACTTGTTCAACCGGTACTTCGGATGACAATATAAACCGAGGTGTGTCGCAGTATAGGATCCCTCACTGCTACACAACCGTAAGTGCTGAGTACAGCCTTCTATGAGGTGGTGTGTCAATGTGAATGGAAAATTCTCGAAAGGATGGAAAGTAAAATAAACAAACTCAACATGTTTCTGATTGCAAAGTGTGTGGATAGTGAGTGCACAGTCTTGTAAATATTAACAGATACAACGTAACCAATGCTTATAAATTCTTGGTCTAACAAATATATTTGATATAGTAGTACTAAGTATTCTGCGAGTATTTATTTGTAGATTTCTTTTCCATACTTGTATTATTACAGGGATCAAAATATGAATGAAATACATGTATTGAAACGAACTTTTTATAATATTTTTCATGCATGTTGTGAACACTTGGCTGAAAGCGAAAATCGACAATAATTTGATTCTTGATTTAAAAAAAAGTATCAACTTTGAAATTTTCCTTGCACGAAATATACTTACTTCCAAATGTGACTTTTGCCGGTGCACTGCGTATTGAACCGTAAATGTTGGAAGCCTCGCAATGATAATCGCCCGTATCACGCTTTTCGTCTATTTGGTTAAACGTAAGCTTCCCGTTGCTAATGGTATAGAAAGCAGACATGCTGATGACCTCTTCAACACTTCCGGTGACGTCGGTTCTGTGCCAGCTAAAGCTTGGCTGAGGATTTCCGATGGCATTACATTCAATACTAGGCAAATGAGATCTATTTGTAAGAACAGTGTTGGATGGATGCATCGTGAATTTGGGTCCTCTTGGTGCTAATGAAGGGTCTGTGATATTTGTTCCATAAGCTACAAATAATTACGTACAATGTAATTATCGTTACCTCGAACTATTTTACAGGAGACATGAGATTCTTTAAACAATTAGTGGGGAATGTTGATTTATAGCTAATTAACGAATAGAGCGGCCAAGTACCAACCAAACATCAGTTTCATGAGCTACTCATTAATAAACTCATTTGTTTCTATAGGTTTGAAGGTTGGTATCAGAATATTCATACTGTAAATGAGACTTACTAAAATCTCGGTTTTCCTGGAGAAGACGCTGCGTTTCGCTCCTCGGAATTTCACAGATAAATTTAAAGGACTGTCCTCCGTCAGTTGCACCCCAAGCATAATTTAAATTGGTCACTGCATGACATTAAAATATAAAACAAAAGTATTAGAGACACTGATTTAAAAATTAGATATATATATATTTTTTTTACTGCTTTAAAAATACTTGCCAGAGTATTTGTATACAATAAAGTCCGAGAGACTTCGAGAGTCATCAGGACTTGCCCAAAAGGTGACGCCATCTGTAGATACCGTGCCATCCCCGGTCCATTTCACATGATTTTGTTCCTTGTGTCCACTAGTGTACCAGAGAGACCTGAAATCATAAGTGCATTAAGAAAAAAACCAAAGGAGACCTTGTGGTAGCGTTTCTAACACCCCCCCCCCCCCCCCAGCCCAGAACACAATTGATTTTCGTAAATCCATGAATATCAATGAAATTGATATAAATGAGATAAAATCTGAATTATTAACACCTTTTAATTTATGCTGCTAAAATCACATATTCAGAATGAAAAACCACGACATTCAATCCTGTGTATTATAAAGCATCGTAAAGCATGTCACTAAGATTGGTTCTTATGATCTAATGTCACCGATTATATTTTCAATAATCTGAAAATATTTTCATCAAAATACTGTATAATGTGTCAATTAAATTATTCGATAAGTATAAATATATTTACCTATCCTGATCAATCCTCTGCAGAAGGTTGTTAATAAATTCGTGTTCCTGAGCCGAGTTTATGCTCAGCAGTCCAGCTCCATATTCCTTTGAAAAACAGCGAGTATGAAGATCTTTTTCAGTACAATCAACATCGTTTCAACAGAACTGCCCCCCCCCCCCCGCCCCGCTCCTGTCCCTCCTCTTTTAGCCCAGCATCCACCCAGGATTACTTTCTCTAGTGTAAATCCCAATGTTATTGCTATTTTTTCAAACTGACTAGTTTTGTACTGGTTATAATTAGTTCTGTATTGGTTATTATTAGTTCTGTATTGGTTATAATTAGTTCTGTACTAGTTTTCATTAGTTTTGTACTGGTTATAATTAATTAAAGGTATACCTCAGAGGTTTATAACATTTTGTTCGAAGAATGACTTTTATGAATGTATTCATTCAGTAAGTCAGTGGAGGTATTTTGATTATTTATTCAGTCATAAATTGATCTGTTTCATATTACCTGACAATCCGCTGCCGCTTCGTTGTACGTTCGCAGAGGATAAACTAAGAACTTGTAACAGTGGTGCTCAAATGGGTACCAGTTTAATGGGCAGTCTGAAATAAAAGTCTTATTGATATGATTGTGTATGATAGTTATCAGTGGAACCATTTGTTTCCCTGCTTTCTCATGTTTGAGGCGAGCTAAAGGGGGAACGAGACTATTCACAGTTCCATTTCTCTCGCTCTCCCCCTTGCTTTCTCGACTTCTGCGCAATGTAGACGTGAATAGGACTAAAAAATACCGGTATCTCTTTGAATAATAGTTTGAAAATCAAACGATGATTCTTCAAATAGGCAGATAAAAGATGGGGAATGTCGTTTACCGTTTAAAAAAACTTTAGTCTTGAGCTTTCGTGTTCAAAAAATCTGGTAAAGGAAGTGATGTTTTAGATCTGATTTATTGTACGAGGTACATACGTGATACTTTGGACTTTGCACTTTATTTAATGTCCTTATCACAGACATTTTTTGAATTAGACTAAGTTTTAGGATAAAAATAAAGTTGTAAATATGTCTCAGACTTGAAGTGCGCTTGTTGGTTTTACGTCTTATCCAGAGCATTAAACTGGATTTAGCAGGTTTCAGGCACGTAGCATCGTCAAAGAAGGGGTCAGTCATAAAAAATAACTGACTAATTCTCGAGATAAATATTTTATGGTACATTAACGTATCGACTAACCGCAACAAAAAGTGGGGAGACCAAATGGCCAAATGAAAATTTCCAATTTCCAAACTAAATACAAAGCAAAATGATATTCCCAGAGAAGCAAACCCCCTCCCCGCCCCCCTCGTTTTACGGGCCTGGGTTGTGGGGATTTGACACTTTGATTTACGTTCTACTTTTTTATTATTTTAATATTTATTTATAAACGTATAGGAAGACAATGAACCAAACATTAAAGCAAAAAAAAGTGTTAGAAGTGAACAGTGCCAACTGCAGTCTTTCCTTTTTTTTTTAACTGATTAAAAATATTACCAAATGTTCCAAAAATGATCAAAATATCATAAACAATGTAATGAAAATTAAAACAATTATGTATTAAAACTTAATACGATATTTCTTAAGATGATAATCAACGTATACAATAGTTTTTGTTTAAATTTTTTATTTCTTTTATTGGGGAAAGGGGGTCGGGGTTGGAAATGTTTGATGGTATTTTTGTGGGTTTTTATTTGTTTGTTTGCTTTTTTTTTTTTTTTTTTTTTTTTTTTTTTGCTTGAAGATATATAAAATTGATGTGAAAAAAATGAGCATTTTTGGGCATACTAGTATTAATTCAGAAATCAAAAGGAAAAAGCTTTAATTTCTAGTGTGGTCATTAAAAAAAATATTTTGAATGAAACTGTCACAATCACGTGATTTTATTTACTCACCTGAGGCTGGGATTAGCTGCGAATCACAAGTGAAGAAAAATGCCGTGAGCGCGGCAGAAAACCAGGAAATTTCATTCATGGTGGCATTGTCTGCATCAGCCTACCATTCTATAAAATACTGGAAATAAACAAAATAAATCTTATACTGCTTTAAGCATCCGTATTTCCTACAATCCCGTTGTTTATGTCTTTCCATTTCTTTGAAAAGAATTCTAAACATCACAGATTCCGTTTTGAGAGGAATTAGAGCGGAAGAGGGGATCGTGATGTAAGCAGAGAACACACTTGTCATATACCTAATTAAAGTTTTCAAACACTATTAAAATTACATAATGCGCATATACAGGCGTTACGTTTTAGAATAAAAATGTTAATCAATGCATAAAATTGATGCGACAATATTCCATTATCATGGTCCAAGTTTGTATCAATTTTATGGTTTTTCGTGACTTTTCCCCTCTCTATTTTAGCTTTAAGCTTGGATTCTGGAAATACATTTAGGTTAATTTTTTTAATATTTAAAAGGTAAATAAAATTTGAAATTCAGTTTCATGATACAAGACTATCCAAAAATAATGAAGTTTTAAGAAAATTCAAATTATTTTGTGCCAATTATTAAAAAAAATGCCTTACCATACACGACAGGGATCTGCTGTACTTTTGTTTTATCAGTACTCCGAGATAGAAGAGTGTGCGTCAGATTAAATCATATTGTAAATTTTTTGATAAGATTAAAAGTTTGATGTTGAAGAAAATCTTATCAACACTCTATTGACTTAAACGATTTTTTGTCTTCTATTGACGCATGTACTGTTAAAGTACACAATATGTCTAGTCCTTTTTATTTATTTATTTATTTTTTTACTACAAAGTTATGTTTGTCATATATCATGTTACGTGCATGTTGGTCATTTTTTGGAACGGTGTCTTAACTGAGAGCAGAAGTCCTCCATTATCCCATTTATAGGACAACGTTCCAAAACTCAAAGTTTATCATTACCATTTCTTTTACAATTTTTTCTCTCGCCGAACATTTGCTCCTTGATATGGATAGGAAATAGTTTTGAGACCTTTGACTTCAACAACTTCCTGTTGGTAAAATTGAGCATAGTGATTTTTTACACATTAAAATATGTGTACCTCATAATTGGATTTAATAAGAAAAGATTATACCGAGTTTTAAGTTGTCTGTGACAGATATATATTTAGTCGTGTTATGTTCCATATTTTTCAAATAAAATTTTCAAATTTTATGATTTATTTATAGAAATAATTTGAAGGATATTTTAAATATTTAAACAAGTTTGACTTTAACCAAAAAATTGAATGCTAACACTTTTAACAAATTTGTTCTTATTTTATGACCGGGCTAACATATACTCTTATATCTATGGCGACTACAAAATGTTTGTTGTTATTGTTTTCGATTCAAATTAGCGATTGTGTAATTGACAACTGCCATTAGTTACTTTCAGTGAACTTAATCCATTTTACATAATTGCGCATGTTCTTCATCTCTTTCATAACGAATTGATTTTTTGTTAATTCCAACAGATGGACAAAAACGGATTGATTGTGTGGATTTTGATGATTTAATCTCTCTCTCTCTCTCTCTCTCTCTCTCTCTCTCGTGACATGTGGTCTTGATTCATGCATTAATAGCATGAAAATGTAAAATTGTAAGTCCCTCCTTTTTTCCACCAAAAAAAATCTCAGACATGTCAGAGGAAAGGACTGGTAAATCCAGACATAGGATGACACTTCCCCCTACTCAAATTTCTGGATCCGTCAATGTAAATACATATAGATAAATTGATTTGAATTATGTCTGTATTTGTATCTGTCATTGTAAATAGTAGTTAAAAACCTTAGAATGAATGGATTCAGTAAAAAATCGCCTTAAACAGCAACGTTTAGTTGTTCAGCATTAAAACCACCAAACAGTTCGGGGGGGGGGGGGGGGGTCAATATTTGAATTACAATTGCATCAATTAAACATATACATTGGTTCAGAATAATTCATGATCAAGAAAAATTATTATATTTGTGGTGTGCTTCGTTAATGAGAATTATGACAATGATTTAATTTCAAAGAATTTCTACATCTGAAAACATCTTACCTTAATTTTTTTGAACCACTATCGTTACAGTGCATGTCCAAAATTATTTCCCACAACGTACATCTTTTAAGTGGAAGACCGATCAGAATAGTTCACTAATGAAAGGTATGACAGAACATATCATATCTAAACTAATGTTTCAATGTCTCAATTTGCAAACATAAAAATTTAATTTACTTGTAAGGAAAATAAAACTAAGTATCTAAATTGTATGTAATTTTCGGACGGTATCTCTACCGAGGGTCTATGATCGGGGTCATTAGGTCCCGATAATACGGCCCTTTCCTATACTTTGTTATCGCCGAGATAACTTGGACACACAAAAGTGCTGACCTCTTGGTTATTTACATGTGGATTTCCCGACATTCCCTCCAGATGGAATCACTTTAAATTAAAATATCGAGGAACAAAAGAATCGATATGTACTTGTCATATCTGTTTCTTGGAATTTCGGCCATATTTGCTATCATGGATAGTTTTCATGGTTTTAATATGTATGATGGTTCAAAATTGTTTTTTTTTATTCTAATTTGAACGCCGTGACACAAGGTTATACTCGTATTCTTATCAATTTCAGTGGAGAAATGAGGCGAAAGATTCCTTGTCGATAATGGATGGTGAAACGCTGTCCTATTTTTGGAAACAAAGGGAAATGAAAAAAAAAACATACACATTCCTGGTTAGGAAGACTAAATTAATTTCTTTTGGTCTATCATCATTATGCATAATTAACCACTGACCACAGTCTTTGAAAGATTTGGATTTCAAGAATACGCACGTATCTATTTTTATTAATCCGCAGAAGTGATACGCTTTATTACAAAACGGTAGGTTCAAGATTTTATAAAACTCTCAGGGTCTGTCAGATTTCTTCGATCGTCTTTTTTAAATGCACATTGTTTTTTGCTCACCTAAGCTGAAAGCTAATGTGAGCTTTTCTGATCACATTTTGTCTGGCGTCCATCTGTCCAGCCGTCTGTCTGTAAACTTTTCACGTGCACATTTTCGTCTTATTCTCAAGAACCACTGAGCCAACTGCAACCAAACTTGCCACAGAGCATCCAAGGGAGACGCGAATTAAAATTAGTTCAAATGGAGGGACACGCCCTTCATCAAGGACAGATAATTAAGAATTAGCGAACATTTAATGGCATCTTCTAAAAATCTTCTCAAGAACTACTGGGCCAGAAAAGGTTAACTTACGTGAAATATTCGTTACTGAATAAATCTAAGGCTAAATGCAGGTTAATCCTGGTTTCTTTTGGACACAAGTAATTCCTTAAGCCAAGAAAGGAAACCAGGACTTCAAAAACATCTCTAGTCATTGTATGGGGTATCATTATATATCCTTATTTTTTAATAATGCAACATATTCCGATTTGTTGACAAAAGATTTAGCAAGCTTTTTTTCACTTTCATAGTTCCGGTGTCGTGTAGTAAACCTTCTGCACAGCAAACCTTCCCCCGGAAAAGTTACAATATAGTAACAGCTGAGTAAAGCTTCTCCCTCAGATTAATAGCTATTTATTGCAAAAATTCCTCCCAGATACTCTACTACAAGTTAATTCTCCCCCGGGGAAAGTTTACTATAAAGCAAACATTCCCCCACCCCCACATAGGAAATCATCCCTCAGATACTTTGCTATGTAGTAAACGTTCCTCCTTATTCCGGATAATTTTTCATAATTCGGAATTAAGTGCATTTATGTTTGTTTTGATTGTTGATAACAAAAAAAAATTGATTTGATGAATGTACAAGATTCTGAATCAACACATTTTGTTATACTAGACTTATATACTTTTAATCTGCTTATCTAAAACAAGAGGCCCAAGATCACATGAGTATAATACAAAATTGTAAAGGATCCATGGAAGTATAAAATTAAAAAAAAACAAGAGGCCCGGAAGAGGCACATTTGCTTATCATAACTATGCACTTAGTTGAAGATTTTCAAAGAATTAATTTTTTTTAACTATATAATCAATAAAGCCCCGCCCTTACAGTCCCTGAAACAGGACCCACGATATTCACAGTTTTGGAAGTGGAACCCTTGCGCATCATAACTATATGCTAAGTTTATTTACTTAATACCAAAGAGCAGATTATCAAAGAAATAATGCATTTTCATTATAAAATAAAAGAGCCCCAACTCCACAGGAACCCCTGACCATGGGGCCACACATTTAACAATTTGAAAGAGGCACCCTTGCTCATCATAACTATGCACTTGGTCTATCTGCTAGATACACAGGAGCAGAGAGAAAACTTTCAAAGAATTGATACATTTTTACTATATAACCAATAGCGCCTCACCCTAACATAAGAACTTCTGACCCAGGGGCCAGAGAATTCACAATTTTTGGAAGAGGCACCCTTGCTCTTCATAGCATTTAGTTTGTTTGCTGAATACCCTGGAATAGAGGAGATTTTCAAAGCATTAATTCATTTTCACTATGTATGAAAAGAGCCACCCCGACCCTCCTACTGAATCTCTGATCCTGGAGACACACATTTCACAATTTTGGAAGAGGCACACAGTTCATCAGCACTCAGTTTTTTAAAAGAATTTATGCATTTTCAAAATATAATTAATAGAGCCCCGCCCTTACTCCTGAACCTCTGACCCGGGGACCATGAAATTCACAATTTTGGAAGAGGCATCCTTGCTCAATATAACTATGCATTAAGTTTGTCTGCTGAATACCCCAAAAAACGGGGGAGAAAATTTTCAAAGCATTAAGTCATTTTCAATATATAATCAAAGGACCCCCCCCCGCACTCCACCCCCCCCCCCCACACACACACACACAAACACACAAACACATACACTGAATCCCTCATCCAGGGGCCATGGATTTCACAATTTTGGAAGAGGCATCCTTGCTCATCATAACTGTGCACTCGGTTCATCGGCTTAATACCCAGGAGCAGAGAAGAAGATTTTCAAAGAATTAATGCATGTTCACTATATAATCAATAGAGCCCCGCCCTAACTCC